CTCGATCCCTGTCCAAACTTTGATATTTTTAACCACCCAGCCATGTCGCCCATTTTGACCAGAACTATTCGCAGGGAGCTGGGATCGAACCCACAACTCACTGCTCCTATCTCGGTGCTCTGAACTGTAATCACCTATAGGCCAACCTGCCCAGTTTATTGCGTTCCTAAAATATATACATTTTAAAAAATTATTTCATGATTTCAATATTAACGATAATTATCAACAATTATCAATCATACAACGAAAATTATCTATATAATTTCAGCAAGACCGAGCTACGGCTCATTAATTGTCTTATCACACGATTCTTAGTGAACTCATATAAGTTAAGCCTGTAAGCCTTAGTTAAGCATGTAATGACAGTCTCTGTAAGCTTCAGAGCGTGTTATTTATACAGAAGTTAATTAATTACTTGATGAAATAGACAACCTCAAGCTGCAATGGTTAATTTAAATAATCTTCACATAAAGATATACATATTATTGACATGAAAATAGTAACAGCTGGAGATATATTATCTATTATGTATTATTATTACATTATAGCATCTATTAATATTTTATTAATATATTATTTTATCAACAATGATCAACAGCTGTAAACACAGCGATAAAATAAACATGTAAATCTTGAGCTAAATTAGCCGCTTGTATGGAGTAGAAAAGTCGATGTGAAGAGGGTATGGGGGTGGCAGAGGGTATGGGGGTGGCAGAGGGTATGGGGTGGCAGAGGGTATGGGGGTGGCAGTAAGAGCTTTTAAAAATATGACCATTAACTCATCTGGCTTTATGACTAAAATAAATAATTGCGAGAATATTGTTACATAACTTACATGGTCAGCGTTGGATTGTGGGATTGTCTTGAAACAGTGATTGCAAATCCGTCTTTTTGCTTGATTGCGTTGAAATTCTCCGTATGTGCACGCGGTCAAGGTTTATTATTATTAAGTATGTATTATTAAGTATGTATATCAAGTATGTATTAAGTATATTAAGTATTCTTATTAAGTATTATTAAGTATTAAGTATTAAGTATGATTCTCAACACGGATTGTCGACATACGGGCTCAATTATGCTGTTCGCTCTTCAAACTCAGTCTGAATTATTATTCAAGCCAATTAACTAATATGTGATGGGCACTCCTGAAAATTTTTAATTCATTTATAACTAGGAGTTCAGTCTGCGAATTGTTTTAATACATTTTTCGGTCACAAATGTTTATAATTTTATCGTCTAGTCATAATTCTTCCTATGTTCAATTTTAATGTATAATAAAACAAATCGCTACGTAAAAATAAACTTTAAACAAAACCACTACAAATAGTTAATCAACGCCTGCATTAGAGTCACGAATAAAATTAATTGATAACTTAAGGCAGGTTGAGCATCATTATACTTTTCTATGTTACGAACTGTTATAATTTTAAAAGGGACTTTTGATCTTACCAGTGGAATGAGACAAAGGACCTAACTTGTCCCTATTAGCTCAGTGCCCAGACATTTCCAATATCAATGTATTATCAAATTACTAAGCTAATTAGTGCCCCATTTATTGAACAAGTTCTCAGCGACATCTCACAAAGTAATAAATGCAACAGACTCTTTCACCACTCAAAGTCTGTAAATATCTTCAAAATTGAGATATTGTATATTAATGCGTGATTATATTAAATAGTCATCAAAACCCTTAAAAGCTACAGACCTGAACTTTGTATAGATAATAATTAGAAAGATCTGATCACGCGAACGTCAGAATATTTCATATGGCTTACATATCCAAAATTCTCAGTATATATATAGCAATTGGTAATTACAATCACAAACAGAAACCTTATTAGATATGATAGCAGCACAAATATTTAAACGAATAACAATAAAAAGTTGAAAGTTTCACTGATAACTAACGACTTAACTGTTCAAAATACCTTCTTACGCTGAATTTATCACTTAGTGATGCTCATCAGTTCTTGAGTGCGACTCTGCAAGCATTTAATAGTGGATTTTGATAGCCAAAACATATCACAGCTGACAATTGATTGCCTAGAGCGCATCGCATACTGTAATTTGCTAGCTTCAAAACGCATCAAATACTGAAAATTTCTGGACAAAACTGCATAGAATATTGAAATTAGCGGCCAATAAAGCATAAAATATTGTAAATTGATAGCCCAAATACGCATCAAATACTGAAAATTGATAGTCAAAAAGAGCAGAGTGCGCACCAGGCTTGTTAGGTCAAGTCTTGTACTGAAGCTGCTAACTAGCTGCTAGACAGACCCCGACGATAACAGTATCACACATGACGATAACAACCTTATCTTAAGACGAATGTCACAGCAAGCCAAGGCTTCTCAAGGTACTAAGGTACAACGAGCAATGAAAATGGCTCTGTAAATTATAAATCTTAATATCATAATACAAGTGTGAAAATGTCCTTGAATCAAAATGTATAAATAGTGAAATCAAAAGTTACTTCTTATGTATAGTGCGCATGTATATCGACTGATGCGAGTTCTCACAAATCAGGAATGCGAATTATGATCCAATCAGTAGAAAGCGATTGGTATGCCATGAAAGTACTATGAGAAGATTTTTTATTATTAGAATTGAAGAATTGATGTAACTGAAATGAAATTTCATTTATAGCAACAATGCGTGTTGGTTCAACTCTACGTGAAAAGGAACATAGATTTTAATTATTCAAGGGATGTCCTTAATATATTTTAGTGCAGTGTTTGTTGTTATAGCATAGATTTATATGAAATAATTTAGTCATCCCCTAGACAGCGCCCTCGGGTGGAAGCGGATGTATTTATTTTCATTTTGCGCTTTTTAAACTTTCCTCGCCACGATTGATAATTAATTAATATAAGTCTTGCGAAAAATTTGCAAGTTTTAGTGAATATTTTTACGAGAAGAAAATAAATCAAAGAAGCCATTACAGTTCGGAATGTGATAAAAATATATATGCCCATGGACGGATCATGATATAAGAAAAAATATCATTAATGGAATGAATGTAATGTAACGAATGTTTAGCGAAATTGATAACTTTATATCATTACTTCATAATTATTATATGCTTCATGATTATAGATGTTTTTTTATAAATAGAATAATTACATTTCAAACAATTGACGGTGTGTGTCGCTTGCCACCTAAAATGCTTAAAATATGCAAATCAAAAGTCAACAATATTTTTAATTAGTTAATTATATTATTATATAAGTTTAGTATAAATGACAAACACATGTCATTTGCATCACTTTGAACTCCTGTTTTTCTTTTTTTTAGTGAATAACATTAATATAAATCATCTGATTTATATTTAAAGAATACATCCTTACACGGAATTCAAAACGCATTTCAGCCCATAAATGTACACGATCTTTTCCGCTCTAAAGATATCAGAAGTAGAGATCAGTGTTGATATTAGTGGACAAAATTTGAAATTTAGGTGAAGAAAAGTAGCTGAGATGAGGCTTAGCGCAATATCTAGCAAGCAGATCTAGAGCAACGTATGCTATTGACCTGGTAATGTCATTCGACGTACGGTTGTAAACTGTGGAGTGTACACCATAAATCACGTGTGATTATGAGACTTGCACAACTTGCCACGTCCAGATAAAAATAATAATAATGAGTGAGTATCGAAAAGCATATAAACTCACATGAATGAATGGATCAAATGGTCTAAAATCTAAATAGTGAAACATTTTTTTCACTCACAGCACGACCAGGGAGCGGACGTAGCACTGATACGCTCTCGTCGGGCCAAACTAGGTTAGGATGACCCATAAAGTGCAAAAAATGCACTAACATATGGAGAAAACTTCACTCATTCCTCTCAGTGATGCACACTTTACACAAGCTTGATGGAATTAGCGGGACAGTAGTAATAAAAAGTCATATCGTATAATCGTTATATTGTTCACGGTAGCTGGCTTTGAAAAAAAATCACTCGACGCCTATATCTTTTCTTGACATGTTTTAATGTTTGTTTATTCTAAAAATAAGTTCAAATTGAATATATGATGAGTTTACAGTCTTCATGTAATTAGCATATCACGTAAGACGAGTTTGCAGACTGAACACAGTCGACGAACTGAGCTTGCTTCAGAGACAAGTTTGCTTTTTTTATGCAGCTGAACAGAGTTCAGATACATAATCAATTAAATCATATCATAATCATAATCATCTTTACAGGCCTTGCACATTTTGCGCCTTCAATAACCAAATTGAACTAAAAATTGCACCCTATATTATATAAACGACCTAAGATTAATGGTTCTATTCGTTTAGCTTGTTGTGGGATTCGTTCATTTCACAGCAAATTTGTCAACAAATTTAGCAAACCGTATTATTAACCGCAAACGTATTCATTGAACAGCAATAAAACGCGGAATGCTCTAGCGTTATAAAAGACTGGTAAATGTACAGTAAAAATTTGCGTCTTCGATTGCTGCAACATTGGATTAATTGTGCAGGCTTGAAGCATCGAATCATAAAATCTCAATTTGTTCATGGAAATGTTATTATTTGTTGCAATTTTATTTCTTTACTTGATTATGAAAATTATGCACTGGAAAAGTATTTAGTCTAACAAAATAAAAGGGGCAAGGGGATTTCTATGGGCACGAAGAAACACGTGTGCAACGAAACGATCGATTAGTATTCATAGTAATGATAGTATATTCAAAATTATCCGCTCAGAGGAAATTTGGACGAAAGCTGGTTGAAACAATCTTTTTCCATAACTCATGTTTAGTCTTATATTTAATTTTTATCTTGAATCGGATGCTTTTGCCATTTTTATTGAAAAATGTTGTACATTTGGTCAACATTTATTCAGTTTTATTTTAGACAAAGATTCATGGACTTCCAATAATTGTACACCAATTAGGTGTGAAGGCTAAAGGAGTTAACACAGTTTTTCCATTAATCGATACTTAATCAGCATTATAAAACCTCAGAATTAGTTGGGTAATAATACTTACACCATGAAAATTTACTTCGTTTTAAGGCGCCAGAAGATGTAGGCGATGATCTGCGAGCTAAAATCTATTTTGTAATAATTTAAGCTTCTTATTATATGAATTTCCCGTTGGTTCAAAATCTCATAAACTCGTAATTCATTTCCAAAGCATAATTACAGAGCTCAGTACTTGACCATAGAAAGAAGATGCTATAACGTTCATTACGATGGAAATGTCCTGAAAGATGAACTTTTAGTTTGTAAAGCGAAACATTCAAATTCAATGCATCGGTTGATGGAGAATCACGAAAATGGCTGAACGTTTCTAAACAAAATATCGCTGAAGACATATGTACATACCTTCCAAAATATCCTGTCTAGTGACTCGCAGGTTACCCGCAAAAATTTGAAGGAAATGATTTCACTGCAATTATATTTCCCTGAATGTTCCACTTAGAAAACACTGCACATTTTATAAATTTTCACTCTGATTTTTTTCAAGCAAAAAACGGAATACGTGACATATATCTCTGTAAGTTCCATTCCATGACACAATTTCCAGCTCGTAGTAACACTTAACAAATTCGCATTTCACTCAACTCATCCAACATTCCGACATAAATTACTATGTACTCAGCGGCGGCAAGTGCGGGCTAGCGACTCAAGTATAGGTAAGTAAGGAGGCGACTAAAGTATAGCTAAGTAAGGAGACGACTAAAGTATAGCTAAGTATGGAGGAGACTAAAGTATAGCTAAGTAAGGAGGAGACTAAAGTAGAGGTTCGTGGGCACCCGCGTGTTGGTTGTGCCAGACGAACTCCAGCATCCGCCCGCCAGAGCAGGGCTGATATCGGCACCAGGGACGTTGTACTGAACACTTATCGCTGGGTAGATGATGGGTGCACTGCTACAGCCTCCCTTCGGCCTAATGACGTTAAAACCGCGTTACATACGAGTTGATTTTGTTGATAAAACGTTTTATCTTCCTTACGTCAACGTCAGATGCCTAGTGGGCTGCTAATATATTCATAATATTTACAAGTGCAAGTTTCGGTTAAGCCATTTTGGCCTGTAGCCGATTCCTGAAATAATCGTTCGGCTATTTTCTGGTCGATGTCGACCAAAGTTTTAACAAAAAGCTGCGGATTTCAAACCCTCAACTTACGACTCGGTTATCTTAGCGACTCGGTCGGCCACCCTTCGGTATTATACTGGAGAGATTATACCGTATCATTTACATTTATTGTTTCACAAATTATAGTTAGAAATCAGGCGTCATGTGACGATTAAGAGGCACAATGAATTCATTTTTTGGTCAGTTAAAAGAGTTTAGACTAGTGTCTGAACCGTTTACCTAATCGCCGTTTGCCACCAAAACAATAATTCTCGGTAATGTCAGGCAACAGTAAGAAGAACAAATTGAAAACGAAAGAAAGCCTCAGAAGCTGCACCATACTTTCGATACAAACTCCACCAATCCATAAAAAATGTACAGAGGCATCGCAGAGATTTTCTGACTATCAAAAAGTACTTGTTCAATGCTGCATCACTTTAATGCCTCAGCAATATAATTGTAACCTCAGAGCTTCATGTCGTGCCCGTAACTACGACACTTGCCTCGGCGCAGGAAACAGCCTGACACCAACGGTCAGAGGTATGACGTAAGTGCGTGGTGTTTATGAGCAGCAAGTATTGTCAGTTCTGGGAAAAGATTCTGATGTTTAAAAACAGCACAACAGATTGTTCAATGTTCAGTCATTTTAATTACAAGCAATCGGCGTTTTATAAGAATGACTTAGAGTTCAAAACTTCGCTTCGGTGCACACGCGTTAGCGTATCTGCGTACCTATCTTATGAGCGTATCTGCGACCTCGACACAAAAATTCTCCAGCACATTCAAAATACTGCTTGCTTTCATCGCGAAGTCTGACGTAATCAGTCATATTTTGCATAATTTCTGCTTGAGTTTGCAATTTGGAATGGTTTATTTAAAAAACGAGCACTTGCAACAAAAAAAGAAGCTTAATACAATATAATTTTCAAGATTAACTATTTGATGCGCCTGGGTCATTAAATTCTTACGAAAATGGCACCTAATAATTTGCTGGGTCTTTAGCCCTGAGTTGTTGGCTGAGCGCATTTGGATGATGTAATTGTTGAGGCCTGGAAGTATGATAGCAAACTTTTTCATTCTTCATATTAGTATAAAATAGGCTTTGCTGAAGCAGTGAAAACGATAATTATAAGGAAAATGAATGATTATAAATTATACAGATCGTCTACCTTTTTTTAACGATGAATCTCAAGACGAGCTCTCAACAAATAATAGTTGTCACTACAGTAATAATGAACCGTTATGGATTTTCATCACGAAATAAGCAAATCAAGATGACACTGAGTAGCAGAAGGAAGTGTGTTATCCTGACACATGTTCGGTGCTGAGGTCAGGCGTCCGGCCAGCTCGTGCTTTCCTGTCACAAACAAGTTGCTTACGTAGAGCCTAATTACGGCTTAAATCATTATTTAATTTATTATTTTATATTCATCTCATTTATTTAATTGATCTTCAAGATGCGGATGAGCTTGCATTTTTTTATTAATATTCATATTAATCGGTTAGTTCAAGTGCTATTTTGAATCGGGAGGAATAAGTAGCATAACAAATGTTCGATATATTTAATAAACACATACCAGGATGCATCGAAATTGTTGGACGTGTTGTAGATTTCTGCATCACATTATATCTTAGGTGAAGTATCAGTTTTATATGGTCATTACTATCTTACGATTTTTATTTACACATATGCACAAGTTCCACAAGATATCAAAGTGCGAATTATGAAAATTTCTACAATGATCTGGACAATCACAAAACATATATATAGATTTTTAAATACTAAATAAATTAAACCCCGTTGCACAAAGTTTTAAAGCGCAAGTCAGTAGAAGTTGTGAGACAGGCAGCGGCAAACATTTTCATCTAAATAATCTTTGTGCGTTAAATTTTTAAAGGTGTAGATCGGTTTCTACATATTGAAGTTTCAAATGTCATTAAAAAGAATTTTTACTAAAATTGTTTTACAAAGGAAGAAAAATATAATATTTCTGATTTAGTTGACCTGTTTATTGAATGATTGATGGAGATGGTGTCCAGCCTCAAGCACATACGAGTAGCATTTCCGGGCATTTTACAAAGGAAAACATCTGATCAAACCGTTGGATGGTTCTCTTTTTATTATTAAAACTATAACTTCTAACATCTTCCTCAACCGATTTTTAGTTGTCTAAATAATATCAACGAGAAATAATATGAACAGAAAAGATCAGCCTCCTCACACTCGCTGCTTAAGCTCTTTTAAGTTTTAAGCTTCTTCGTTCTGGCGACAAAAAATAATCGAATACGGATGATAGCGCTCTGTCTTTATTCTATTAAATAATTGACAAAGATATGAATATTCTCAGTGGTTTCAGGAACATAGTTCAATTATAGAGGTAACGATTAATTGCTAGAATATGAACACTTTCCTAACATTAGGTAATTTGAAAAAATCCATCGCTAATTTGTACCGCTATTCTGACAATGATGGCGTCGAGGCATTCGTTTTGTAAATATTTCCTTAGTTAGCATTAGTATCCTTATTATCCTAAGTATATTTGATTCAGACGTAGCAGTCCCAGGCCACGAAGGATCGCGGCCTCTGACTATCGTGCATCCGCCCTCATTTTGGCCAGCTGATGCACGAAGCTGTTGCTTGCTTTTCGCTGCTGGTAACTACAGGGGAGGTCGATCAGGCATTGTGCCCAGGAACACGTCCAGCCATCTCTAGAAGGTCTCCAGGGTGAACTCCCCCTCTCTTAGATCCTTTGATAGGACGTTAAACAGCCTCGGCCCTGCCACGGAAAGCGATTCTTCCCGCAGATCTGTCAAGGTGCCGCTATCTTCTCGCTCGCGCTCGCCAGTGCGTCGTTAAGGCCTGTTTCCACTATGAGACTCTGCGAGACTGACGCCTGAAAAACTGTTTTTTTTTAGTCCGGACTGAGGCAGTCCCGACCATCGAGACTGGCGCGACGGGGAGTGAAGCCCTGAACTTGCCAAAATACTCTCCTTGTGTACAACAGACTTACTTGCCGGATTGTCACCAAGCGACCGACACTCGCCAGATCTACTAGCCGTCTGCACTATCCCCGTGCACAAGCAAGCACCTTTATGGTCATTAGTATCCTGGTGTCGTCCGCGAATGACGATGCTGTGGCGTGGTTGACAGCCACATCTATGTCGGCGATGCAAATGAGCAAGAGGATTGGGCCGAGTAGCGTTCCATGTGGTACTCCACTCTTCACCTTATCTTCGCTCCAACAACTTGTAGTCTTTCTGTTAGGAAGTTGTGGATCCATGACAAAAATATACCTCCGACCCCCAGTAGTCTTAATTTTCTGATTGACACTCCATGGTCAACTTTTTCAGATGCTTTCGCGAAGTCTAAATACACCACGTCCACCCCGGCCTCCTCCGCCAGCATGGCCAGGATTTGGTAGTGATGCTCCAGCAGCTGAGACAAACAGGAGCAGTTTCGCCTAAAACCGTGTTGCATTCTGTTGAAAAGGTCAGCTTCCTCCATGTACTGCACCAACCTTCTGGCAACAACCTTCTCAAATACTTTGATTACGTGTGATGTTAATGTAACCAATCCATCCACGAACATCGATGAAAATAATACTTCCTAACCTAACGGATTTCATCAGTTTATTAACATGGATTCACTCGTCCGTCAATTGAAAAATCTTAATTTTCTAATTGTACTTACAGTGTATGTATCCTCAGTAAATAGTAAATAAACACAATAAATAATAAACTAATAATAGTAGTAGCATTTGTGAAACACGCTATGATACCTATCTAAATCTATAGACCAAAAACCAGACATGGTTATACATTGTGACGTATTTATTACATTTAATTTTCTCGACACATTAAAGGTAGTATAATAAGATAATGCTGTTTCTTAATTCCTTGGTGAATGCATCATATTACACGGATAAACTACGTTAATGAGAAGTTTGAAACCATTCTTGCGTTTCATAACTGCTATTAGGTAAATAGATCTTTGTTTCCTCCTGCTCATAGTGACAACAGCTAGTAAAGCAAGAGCGGCAGCATAATCTATCTTCAAAGGCCAGCGAGTGCGGTAGCCCAGACGGTCAGTCTCAGTCCCAGCACACACACGTAGTGGAAACGCGCACGCCAGTTTTCAGGCCCAGCCATGTGGCTTATTGGTCTCAGGCCAGTCTCAATCCTTAAAAATCAGTCCCGTAGTGGAAACGGGCCTTTATACTCTCCATGTGTACAGGTTTACTTGCCGGATAGTCACCAAACGACCGACACTAGCCAAATTTACTAGCCGTCTGCACTATCCCCGTGTACAAGCACCTTTATACTGTAGTGATCTCGGCAGTATTGTTAGAATAAGATAAGATGTAGACATCTTGCTAACTTAATATTGTACATATTGTCATCCGTAACAATGGTCAGTAACAACGGTCAGTAACAACAAAAATCATAGTCAACTATAACATACATAATTTGCTAAGTGTTTTATAATACTTTTAAGATCCGATAAGAACAATTATAAAATTAAACACTAGAACAGCAACCATAGCACAATTTGATACCTAACTATGGCAACCTCTTGAAAGACTTCCGGATTTTCCCGGAGGCCTATCCCGATTCCCGAGCCCTTCATTCTTGCCCTGACGCCAACACGCGAGGTTCTCTGCCATGCCTTCCTTAGTAGTTCTTTATAGGTGTTGTGATATCTATACACTGGGCCTATTTACCGTACATGTTGACATCAAACTAAATAAACACGAAACCTCTGACCGCATCCTCCTATTACCCTACCTGCATTTAGGGAAGCAATTGGCCAGCTGATGCACGAAGCTGTTGCTTGCTTTTCGCTGCTGGTAACTACAGGGGAGGTCGATCAGGCATTGTGCCCAGGAACACGTCCAGCCATCTCTAGAAGGTCTCCAGGGTGAACTCCCCCTCTCTTAGATCCTTTGATAGGACGTTAAACAGCCTCGGCCCTGCCACGGAAAGCGATTCTTCCCGCAGATCTGTCAAGGTGCCGCTATCTTCTCGCTCGCGCTCGCCAGTGCGTCGTTAAGGCCTGTTTCCACTATGAGACTCTGCGAGACTGACGCCTGAAAAACTGTTTTTTTTTAGTCCGGACTGAGGCAGTCCCGACCATCGAGACTGGCGCGACGGGGAGTGAAGCCCTGAACTTGCCAAAATACTCTCCTTGTGTACAACAGACTTACTTGCCGGATTGTCACCAAGCGACCGACACTCGCCAGATCTACTAGCCGTCTGCACTATCCCCGTGCACAAGCAAGCACCTTTATGGTCATTAGTATCCTGGTGTCGTCCGCGAATGACGATGCTGTGGCGTGGTTGACAGCCACATCTATGTCGGCGATGCAAATGAGCAAGAGGATTGGGCCGAGTAGCGTTCCATGTGGTACTCCACTCTTCACCTTATCTTCGCTCCAACAACTTGTAGTCTTTCTGTTAGGAAGTTGTGGATCCATGACAAAAATATACCTCCGACCCCCAGTAGTCTTAATTTTCTGATTGACACTCCATGGTCAACTTTTTCAGATGCTTTCGCGAAGTCTAAATACACCACGTCCACCCCGGCCTCCTCCGCCAGCATGGCCAGGATTTGGTAGTGATGCTCCAGCAGCTGAGACAAACAGGAGCAGTTTCGCCTAAAACCGTGTTGCATTCTGTTGAAAAGGTCAGCTTCCTCCATGTACTGCACCAACCTTCTGGCAACAACCTTCTCAAATACTTTGATTACGTGTGATGTTAATGTAACCGGCCAGTAATTTGGGGGTTTGTCTCTAGCACCTCCTTTGTAGATTGGTGTTATTAGTCCTTGTTTTAGGTAACTAGGAACATTTCCTGCTTTCAATGATGTTTTCCATAGGGGAGCGCAGCCGTGGGTAACAATATTGACTCGTAAACAGGCCCTGGGCCAACCATCAGTATGCAATATCTACACATAGCCTCAGACCAATGAACTGTGGGTAACTCCGGCTAACAGTAAATCCGCTTTGCATAACACAGTCACTGCTCCACAGCGCCGCAGCGCAACTGGCCGGAGCGCAACAGGCCCTACCGCAACACGCGGCGCAGGTTAGGTTAGGTTACTTTAGGAGTAGCTGTTGCGGTAGGGCCTGTTGCGCCCCGGCCAGTTGTGCTGCGGCCTGTATGCACTCCGGCCTGTGACTGAACGGCGCTGTTGTGATGGGCGCTCTATGTCAAAAGCCGTGAAGATGCCCGGCTGCGTTACGCTCGGGAAGGTATATGAATCGCACTGTGGACTTGGGCTATGCTGACCTCTAGCTATCCACCCTTCCATAGCATAGTCACACATTTTTTCCGAAACACGGCAGAGACCCCATCTGGACCGGGAGCCGAACAAGTCGATAATTTTTGGATACTCCTTTCTAGATCCGGTGTTTCAAACGCAAAGTTCATCATCACCTGCCCCACTGGCAGTTCTTTAATGAATCCAATTTCGTTCTCTTGTCTTGAGTATCGGGGTTTGCTGAATACTTTCTCAAACTGCGCTCCCAGAAGTTCGCACATGCCAGTGTGCGTATACCTGCAGTAATACTTCGCACAGCTAGTTGTACATTGCTTCGGCGTTTAAGTCCAGGAACTCTGATCTCCAGTCAACTTCGAGGAGTTCGTTTCCAATGGTCTTCCAGTCTGTTCTTCGATGATGAAAAACCCACGAATCTTCCAAGAATCTTTATTTAGAACGTCACACTGGCATCAGGTAAAAAATGTAATACAGGTATTATTAAATTGATAACCTCAGGGATAAGTTATCATCAATAATTTATCAGCCCCAACAAATAACTTATAGGAATAAAAATAATAATCTCTGCTAAACTAGATCTTACAACCGCCAAACATGACATCATCGTCAATAATGTGCGGCCGTTCTTTTACACGGCACTAATCAGATGCTCGTAGCAGACGTACGTAAATGATACATTGATACAAATGATACATGATGGTAACAAGCCCAAAAACAGCTTCTAACTTTTGGCAAAATACACAATGATCTTTCTAGAAGCATCGAGTGGGCGGAGAAGACATATATACGGTACTCTTCTCATTCGCGCAATATGAAACACATTAGACATAACGCTAGACATGCAACCTATTACAGAGGTTAAACATAGTGCACATTAGTCATAACGCAAGACATGCAACCTATTGCAGAGGTTAAACATAGCACATTAGACATAACGCTAGACATGCAACCTATTGCAGAGGTTAAACATAGCATATTAGACATAACGCTAGGCATGCAACCTATTCCAGAAGTTAAACATAGTGCACATTAGACATAACGCTATACATGCAACCTGTTATCATAGGTGCAATATAATCCATATCAGGCAGCCCACATACACGAACGAGGCAGGAGATCAACAGGAGGTTTTCTATTTTTATGATCAATGTAGACTTTCAGTACGAAATTTCTTACAAGACGAGGTTTAAACAATTTAAAACATAATCGTAAACCATAATAAAAATGGAAATGGTCATAAATTATTAACAAAATATGACTTGTATAAGCCCTTTTAAGGTTATCAGTGTGACGACAATCGCATATCCCAAGATGACCTACCTAACAAAGGAAGTTTAAGGGACAAACAAAAAGAAAGTTCTTCCTTATAAAGGAAGAACTGAAAGGATTTTCGTCATGAAATCTATGGTTGCAAGAATAAAGTAAAATAATAAGCATGAGAAGGCAGGTCTTACCTATGCATGTTGATGATCGCCTAACCATCAAGTAAAAAAAAACCGTCACACTTGCATCCCAAAACAACATGGAGCTTTTCCACTTATGCTAAGCACAACTGATTATGTTGCTAACTTGTAACAATCAACCATGAATAATTTATCCTGCCTTGGAAAAGAGAGGTATTTCAATCCAAGGAGAGGTATTTCAACAGGTCAAAGAACAACGAAGAAAATAATGGGTTCAAATCGTATAGAAACTTGCGATCTAACAACATCAAAAGCCTTGACCAACCCGAGCTCCACGGGAAATTCTAGTCAATAATCTGATTAAGTTCTTCATGCAAACAATCTAAGTGAGGATTGCAACAGTTTCTTCACTACAAAGGATATACATATTTAAATATTTTGTGAAATAACTAAGACAGAAAACTTTTAAGACTAAGAAGACGTGAAATAACTATGATTATAACTATTTGCATACCGTGGCAGAAAAGATAATTGGCAAGCTAAAATTGAAGGTCTGCTTCCAAACCTTCTCACTCCACTACCCACTCCCTCCACCACTCAATAACCACTCAGTCCACAACATAATTACAACTCACTCCATCACGCAACAGCAATGAGCAAGCTATATAATTCAAGTTGATTAAACTTCAATGCTAGTTGCTAGAAATAATCTTCTTTACTTCCGTAGCCAACATTAGGTCGTCTGATTCCTGCTCAATTCAAAACCATGTGCACTTTTCCTTGCCATCCACAATACAAGCTTCATATTGGCGTAAAAAATACAGGTCGCATGCCAAAAAACTCTCAGATTCACTTCAGAGGAATCAACAGCAACGTTCTAGAAGACAAATGTAGCGTAGACTCATCAGGCGCAAATTTATAAGATGTGATCTCATTAGCAGCAGAAACCTCACGTATATATTGTCTTAGCAGCCATAGACACATCAGACGTAGTAGACTCATCATGTGTAGACATATGGGGCATAAACTCATTGAGTATAGCCCTATCAGACATAGACCCTCTTGAGGCTCAGCACAGAGGTGTAGAGTAGATCGTTGGCAGCTTGGCTGAGAGTTGCGTCATCAAGATAGTCCACAGCCTTCCCGATGCCCAAAATGATGCTCTTCTTTTGCTGGGCATTCAAATGAGGGGGAACAGGCGAGCTGGTCTCGCTTTCTTTCAATGTACACGCAATTTCCAGGAGGCGTTTTTCATGTGCTCGATCATTTGTGATTCTACCAACAGCAATGAGAGCGCAGACATTAGTAGATAAAAAGTTTTTGTTGAAATTTAACCTGACTATAGGATTGCTTTCGTTTGCGCTTCCAAGCAACATTACCATGGTTGTTATTTGGTCATTCAAGTCCTGGTCAAAAACGCTGTTAGTTTCGGTGTCTGAATCACTGAACAGTACAGTCTCGTCTGACTCATCATCAACAGTCGCTCTCTCAACATCAACTTCCGAAATAGAGTCTGTTGCTTGATCTGAAACTTGATTCAAGTTTGCTCGACCTCCGGCAGTGGAGCAAACTATGTTTGTGTGCGTGTTAATGTAGTCCTTGTTTCTAAGTTTTCTTCTCGTATGCTTTACTGCCGGAATTTCTTGTAATGAACGTCGCTTTCTCTTCAGAGAGACTTTCTCGACATGATCACCCGATGTGCAAGTGTTTTCAACAGAATCTTCAAGAACTTTAAGGTACCACTGACATACTTTAAGCCAGCTCTCAATGAATCTTTCAGTGAGCACATACTGATGACCCATAGAGTGAGTCTTATAGGGACAATCATGGGAAAGGCAAACTGACACACTTTTGTCACGAAAATTGATATCACGAATACGATTATTTGTCATTTCAATAATTTTTTTCAACATTCCTTCTTTAGAAAACGCAGGGATTTTGAAGAAAATAATACGTGCCCTTGGGTATAACTGTAATATTCTACCCTTTAAGGCCATCAATGAATTACTAACTTTCTGCGCCACCCCATGAGTAATCTTGCCATAGTGAATAAATGGAGCGTGTTTTTTGTACTCAGGCAACTTCAGTGAATTAACAATGTCTTCCGAGCCGAGACAGACGGCAATTAGGAGGTGCTTGTTCTTGTTCATCTTCAGGTCCATGGTCTCCCTGACAGCATTGAGGATTGGCTTGATGTATCGCCAGATGAGCCCTCCTCGACAGCTCAGGTGCATGTAGTTCTTGCAGTTCTGATCACTCAGCAAGTCAGCAAGGTTGAAGAACCTGTCTTCAGTAATCAACACTCGTAGCACATTACCTGAAAAAAGAACATAACAATTATAATAATCAATAATAAAATGATAATATAATAACGATTTTTTTTGGGTCTCTCATTGAAATGAGTTCATGATTACATGCTCAAATGATCTCAGGGAACTCAATTCATAAGCTCCAATCAATATGAAATTTTGCGAGCAGGTTGATTTGTACAGTACTAATGAGCTAAGTTTTCTTTTCAGCTTGAAAGCTGCAAAGTAGCATCATATCATCGAGGAGAAAATGTATTTTTCAAAATTCTTTGTGTAGCACAGAAGCTTCTTCCTATAAAACATAAGAGTAAAAGTAGAGAAAATATGGTTACGAGCAGTTGTGTTTTGGTTGGTTGGGCAGTTATACATTTAATTTGATGTTATCCATCATCAATTTCCCTTTGTTTTTTACTTGCGATCTTATAATTTATTTGTAAGCCAATACTAAAATTCTTCAATGTTTTGCTCCTGCAATAGACAGAGAGCAATTGAAATCTACTTCATGCAAAAAAACTGAGTTAAGAGTACTAACCAAAGAATGATTTGTAATTGAAGATCTTTATCAAGTAATTAAACTTATGTGGAGTACTGGAATTAAATCAGTAATTAAATTGAAGTAGAAGCAAAGTCTTCATTACCCACAAGGTAAAAAATTTACAATTCATCACTGGAACCATAAAATGCACAACTGATATATTGCCTGATAATATATCAGATATATTACATCTGATATTTACCTGATTCTTCAGTGCGCTTGAAAATAGACACATCACACCCGTTAGTAGGATGTGCTGCATCAGGTTCTTCTTTTCTGAAACAAAAATTAAGGATTAGTAAATAAAATCACCACACATAAGGCACAAGTGACAATGAATAGAGGATTCAGAGCATGAAACCAAACAAAGAAATTCCAAAGGAGAATTTCAGAGCATTTACCAATCTTACGACAAATTTCAAGAATTATGTAGTTAATAAACTAAAATGCCATACGGTATGTCACTCAGCGGATGAAGCAAAATTTACAGTTCTGATTCAATGATATGATAGCTGAATGATGCATAACATAAAATTAATGATTAAGAGAATTCACTATGACCAGAGAAAAGCAGCAAAAAGTAAATAATATTTAAGGAACAGTCCTGATAATTGTTAATAAAAGGCAAAAAGGCAGCTGAGAAACAAAACCTGGAATTGGAGAAAACTGCTAATGGGGAACAACCAAAGATGAAAAACTCACATTTTGATCTCCAGTTGCAATGGGATTATTTGATTAGCTTCTTTGTTTTGGATAGTTATTTGTTCTGGTCCAGTCTTCTTTCTGTCCATCTTGCTGCCTTTGTTTTTGTTTAAAGATTCACAGGCAACTAATGGCACATTTTCTGTTGGTGGCTCATCACCCAGGGGCAAATTTATTACACTTGTTGTGTTTGAGCTGGAAGATGATGCAGCAGTGTTGCAAATTGATGGACTAGCTATATTATCTCTAGTTTTACATCTTGGTGGAGAAACTTGCTTTTTTGAAAGTTGTAAGCATTCAACTTCAGGCCTAAGCAGGGGTGCTTTATTATCCCTGCCAGTAACCTTTACACAAAGCACATCAGTAATTTCATCACACGAAGCATAGTCAGAAGATGTACATGAGACCTCGTCATCACGTGCAGCATCCAAAATGCTGGGAGTACTCAAACTCATAATAGAAGAATCACTGATGACTGAAGAATCATCAAGTATAACAAGATCTTGACAAGACTTCAACACATTATTTCTTCTGGATCTTCTCTTCATCTTTCTTTCTCTGATCGTAACTTTTTTAACCTCATTAATGTTTTTGGAATTCGATGCAACATTGTTTCCAGTCTTCACAGGACTCAAGATTTCAACATCATTTTGTAGTGAATTACCATCATTAATTACCAAAACACTGCTACTTCTTCTTGACCTGCTTCCTCTAGCAATAACCTGGACCTCCTCTTCTGGCAACTTGGGTTCAGCAGGCACTGCATTGCAAGAACCTCTACTACTTGATGGTTCAAGCTGTACTACATCATCCTCATTTGATATTATATCAAGACGTTTCTTTGCTTTCATTTTGTTCAAGGGTGAAGCAACCAAGTTATCACCACATATAATTGATTTTAATCTACTTTCAACAAGTGAAGCTCTAGACTTTGCAGGAGAGCACAGCAGACTCCCAGAAAGTGCAGCATTAGAATCTAGTAATTCAGATGCTCGACTGTCAATTTTCTTTTCTTCATCCAGCTTTGACAACGCAGACGACTCTACACAGGTAACCATAGAATTAACACCAGAAGGAGATTGGCTTACAAGCATCTCTTGATTGTTAGCATCTATATTTACTTCAAGTAAAGACAAGTCCCTGACATCAGTTATATTTTCACTTCCAGGAATAGGCTGAGAAATTTCCATTGCAGCAAGTGAATTCTCATTGCAGTCATGAGGCACTGATGTGTCTACATCAAATTCTTCTGTCTGCTCTTCTTTTATCACCACATCCTCATCTTGTAAGGCCTTTTGAATGTGTTTAAGCTCTTTAGCACACTCTTCCTGATATATTGAGTGGATGAAATCACAAATCATGGAATTTATTTTCTGCATGATAATGCTTTGCCTCTCTGTCAATCTATTTGTTGTCAAATAAATTTTTGACCAATCTATGACAGGCAATTTCACATTCAAGCAATGAAATGATACTTGCTTATTATACTCAGCTACCAGAAGGTCCAAATTTTTTTGCATTTGACTGATCTCTAATGAAGTTAGAGTAGATAGAGATTTTACAAATTGAGGGCAGCATTTTTGATGGTCTCCTTTCACTTGTAATAAATGCAACTCCAATGAGAAGGGTGGCAATGCAACAGGCAGGAAGTAGCACTGGGGACTGTTCACCATTATAAGTGATCTCACCAACTGCATCTGTTGAGTTATGTTTTCTGGTGATTCATTCAACAGATAGAAATAGCAATCTTTACAATTGCTGCTAATTGAGTTGGTGTTGGCCATTGATTTTCTTGAAAGAAGGGATGAGTACCCACATGCAAAGATGAAAATCACTTTTTGGAGCTGGGATATGCGTGATAGTTGGTCAAGTATCTTGCCAATTTCCTCTGTCAACACTTCAGTAGTTATGTTATCCAAAACCCAAATGGTAAATGATTTGTACATGTGGAAGACTGCTGACAAATTTGCTTCATCTATTATTATAACTTTGTGATATTTACTTCCAGCTTGTTTTCTGAACCTGAAAACTGTATTGCATGGCAAGTTTTCAAACACATCACATTTCAATTTGGCAGAGGCCATTGTGAGATTTATCATCTGGAATTTATGAGATGGAAACATTAACAATATCTAATCATTAGATACACAAAACTATATAGACATGACATATCATTTGATACACATCTGTATGGGAATTTTCCTAATTATTTCAGGAACTTTGCAGCCCCAAAGTGACAGATATTCAATATCCTTGTAATAATTTTGTGGCCCAGTGTAGCACTCTTATTAACAACTACCGTCAAATGGGGTAATAAGGGACGGTTTTGAGCGTTTTTTGTTAATAACTCCTTACCATGAAACATTTCAGAAATGAGTTTGGGCTCATTTCAAAGCTCTTAGCGAGGGCTATCAGATGGCATCTCCAAAAATTCCATATGCATTACGTGAGGTGCCAGACCGAAAATAAAAGTGTCCCGAATTACCACTAGGAACAAGGTTTTCTGGGACACTAGCAATAAAACTTAATTTTAAAACGTTTGAAGCATGCAGAGTGCACTCATCCATTACTAACAGTACTCTGAAGTCCTCCTCTTTCATTGTAGATGATGTAGATGTAGAATAAATGACATTTTCTGTGATTTTTACTTGTTTTTCCTTTATTGACATGATATTACCATATCCATGAACTTGCCACTGAGCATTTACAACGACCTTGTCCACTGCAAGCTTCATATCAGCAGCCTTATAGCATTTCTTCTGTATCTGTAAGCTTACAGGACAGCTTGTAATTTCACACCATTTTTATTGGGTTAAGTGAATTTACCATTAAAAAAAAAAGATCATGAAAAACATACCTGAAACAGAAAGGAATGTTTTAGTGCCAACCATCATATGTTTTGGAGAAATAAATCAAAGTTTAGGTCAATTACTTTTCATTCTATGATGCCCGGTGTACAATTCTATCTATGACCTTCTATGCACAATTTTGTGATGACCAATGATGCACTAATTTTTCGATAAGTGAAAATTTTTCACTGAGCAAGGTAAATGTAATCAAAATTCTTTGTTGTTAATCCATTTTTTGTTAACTGGAGCCTTTGCTAACTGAGGTTCTACTATAAATGCGTTTTTAAGGGTGTCCCATACTACCCCAGGGGGGTGTCCCTTATTACCCCGTCGCTCGGAAATAGCTGCCATTTTTTTTTTTGAATGAGATAGGCAAATTCTGTCAATAGCATTTTCAAGCTGACACCTGTGTGCAACTTTTATGTAAGTAAAATTTTTTAATATGGCAAATTTTTTTTGCTCCAGACCTTAGTAGAGGTGCTTTTCCAAAATCAAACTTTTCACACTTTTTTTAGAGATAGTAAATGTTTGATTTCTTGACTAGCTTTATATATTATAGATAGTAAAAATGTTGAAGTATACGCCACTATTTTTGGTTTTGCAATATTCTGATTAGTTTAGGTGCTACAACATTCATAAGAAATGTGGGACGCGCATCTCGATTTACCCCGCCTGTCCCTTATTACCCCGTTTGATAGTATATAGGAGGTTTATAATTCATCTAGCAGGAATATCACAGTTCCAAAAAATGATGGGAGAATTCTAGTCACAACTTGAAAATTAGATACATTTCAAGACTGATACACATGATTATTGTGTGGCCAAACTGCCCGAACAAAGAACATATGACGATATTGTGATTTGTGATGCCTGTCAGACATAAATCATTATAGCAATCAGCCATAAATCATTAAATGTTATATCAATTATAAATTATGGGATTGGGATGGACTCCATTAAGATATGTAATTGGATGATGTTACCAACATTTGCCACTTGCAAATGTCTGGGGCTCTGGGCACAGACACAGTCTGTCATCTGTTTAAATCACATATTTGCATCTTTGGCTTGGTCCAATGAATTAGCCTCATCAACTTCAATGGAAATCATGGAATCAAGGCAATGAATGATCACATTTGGCTTCTAGGCATTACAATTGGTATCCTCAACAGTCAACACAGTGTAAAATTTGAGGTTAGTGCACAAAGTTTTTGTCATTTGTGGGCAGACTGTGGATGCATGACCATCTCCAGACTGTGATTGGTTATGGGATTGTGATGTCATCCACTTCAGGCTGTGATTGGTTGTGTTTGCCATCCCAATATGTCTACTGGTTAACTCTTTACTAGCTGAATTATCTTGACCCTTTACCATAATGGAAGTTGGCTGGCAACTGACAAACAAATGTAAACAAACCGCTAATTCACTTGTTGAACTATGCTCAGCAAAACGTTGAAAATTTCCTACTCATGACTGAAATGTTGCAGTTTGCAAAGTGACCAATTTTTTTATTTTTGGAATTTGATTTGGAATATCGGAAATAAATTTCTTTAAATAAGAGGTAAAATCAATCATTTCACAGGTAATAATGGGGCCATGGGCTGTTTTTCTTAATTTTAACTGAAGAAATTTGGATAAGGCCATAATAATGGGCAGAGCTGGGCAGCGCTACTTGGAAATGTAGCGGCGCTACCGCTACCGCTACATGCTCTAAATATAGCGGGCGCTACCGCTACCGCTACACCCACTAGATTGTAACGGGCGCTACCGCTACGGTAAAATGTAGCGCGCTACATTAGCCGCTACAATGGCCAAAATTATTGGAAACCTCTAAATATTTATTGTTCTGCTATAGGGATTTACTCATTAACATTTAATGATAATAAAACATTTTTAAAACATATCAATGCAACTTTATTGCAATTAACCCAACCGAACTAGTATGGGTTACCCCAGGGTTAGATACAGTAAAAAAAGTTACAGTTATTTTTATGTTTTACCGTCCCTACATGGATGTGAACTTTAATCTACCAATCTAAGAAATTATCCACATATACATATAAAAATCAGTCTTTTTTGTATATATATGTGGATTAAAATCAGACTGTTTTTAGGGTAAAATTAGTTATTTGGGGTAACATGTGCATACAACCTTCAACCTTGTAAATAAGTTCGTAGCTTGTAAATAGTTTTTCATTACTCATCGTAAATGGCTTTTTCATTAAAAATTACCCAGCGATGCATCTTGAAAATGGTTGGTGACGCTTTGGGCTTAAAAATCCATATATTGGCGACGCTGCTTCCACCTTCTGCACCCTGAAAATTAGCCAGATGCAAGAGCCTTTTGTCCAATTCTTAGGCAGCTTTTGCCTAATTTTCAGTTATTTTTGGTATTCTGGGCCTAATCATGCAATTTTATAAACAATGAGATAAATAATAATTTTCAGTTGGCGTTGGGTATTTTTTTTTGTCTTCAGAAGACTGGACAGAGCAATTACACATTTTCTTGAAATTTTGCATTGAGCATGGAACTAAAACAAAGCTTAATATAAAGGAAAAACTAGAGAAGTGACGGAATTACCTACGATGTCGGAATATACCGCGTTTACCCTATGTCAGTTGTCTCACTCCTCCGACAGCCTGACTTTTTAAGTGCAGTCACTGCAGTCTTTTAGTAAAAAAAAATTACATCTTGGTTTCAGGTTTTCAATCAAATATATTCTGCCTCACAGCCACAGTCCAAGAATGGGTGCCAGGGTGAGTGGTGAGTGGTGACAAATAAAAAAAAAAATTTCATTTATTTGCTTTGGTAATCTTGATTATTAAAAATATCAATTACATTGTTTTCCAAAGCCTAAAATATACAAAATCATTTTCTCAATTCTCAAAGAAGTAATAGCTATTAGCTATGGCCTATGTACAATAGTAACAATATTTGTAGACCATAGTAGACTACCCCACTACCATAGCCTCATAGGGTACCCTAGATATTTGAATTTGATCAGGATTCAGAATACACTACAGTCTACACTGACTACAGTAAAGTAAACTACACACAAATTCACAATGACAATGTTATATAAAACTAAAATCATTAAAATGCAATCACCTTCTCCATGGCAAAACAATATTAGGCCTAGGTACCAAAAAATAAATTGATAAACTTGTGTTAGATGATCAATCTCTACCTCTTCCTCTGAGTAAAGTGAGTATGCTTCCTCTTGCATTGCATGGGCTCTGAATAAACTGTTGCTAGCTAATACAGTAAATGAGTAGGCCTAATACTTATACCATAGTGTTATGTAGCTACCTAAACTCTCCAAATGAGTAGATGAATTACAAAGATCATTCCAGATATTTTACTACGTATTCAATAAAAACCTTAACAGGAACCCAGCCGTTGGCTAGCTATGTCAAGTGGCCACAAACTTCCCAGGGTCTTCCCTCATCAACACGATCAACTACACTACAACCAAGGCAACGCTCAAGCCTCGGCGTAAACAAACGGCACAGCTGAGTGCTGATAACATCACTTAGCATCGGATTCGGAGCTACGAAGTCGTAGATCACGTTAGAAATGCTGGCTTGTGACATTACGATGAAACGTAAAGCCGTAAGACTTAAGTTCTGTAGAACTCGAGAGTCGAGACTGTAGATATCCAAGTACACGGTAGCAAACTCCGTATCGTATCTCTCATATTTCGCAACCAAAACGACTTTAATATCAAATAATCATCGAATACCTAATTTATTTTATAACTCAGGGTGTTTTTTTAGCAAGTCGAGAAATAGTTTCACAAATATTTTATTTAACTTTGCAACGTCTATCTTGACTAATGAGATCATACGAAAAAATCAGTGTACGGCTGTTATTTTGTCCAGCAGAAATGTTTTTTTATACTATTTTTCTTTGTAGCCGCACTTCTCGCACATGCGTTTGCCGCGACAGCAGCAGTAAATGAACCCATAGGCCACCAAGAGGTATGGACTGCAGAGTCCCTTGATGAGCATCTTCAGGACGTTGTGGTTTGAGAAGAACGGTCTACAGCACGTGCAGCATCCACAACATGGACCCATTCTGACCATCGTGCCTTCCTGTCGAAGAGAGCAATTTAATGGGGGCTATCTTTCAAAACCTTGAAATGTATCGCTTTCCGTGCAAAAAAGAGTACTAGATTTCAGTGAGCGTGAATAAACTTCACTGCGTAATGTATCTTTCTTATCATTGCCATGTTTTTATGATCAGGTAACCTCCCGACACACGCTACCTGTGATACTTTTTAATAAGCTTATTACTGGAAGTTAATCAATGCAAATTTACTCAATTTTTTATTTGATCATTCTACGATAACTCTATCGATTATACTCGTTGAATTCGACATCTCGGACAAATTTACGGCCGGACCCGCGGCCGGTCTCGCGGCCGCCGGACTAAAAACATAGAAAAAACCTAGCCAATCAACGAAAACCTCACAGGTTAGGTCCAGTTCGGCACTTACAGCGTAGCCGTAGCCGCATAGTGCTGAACGAATGTCAAGCATGAGTTACATGAGGATATCAAAGTATTTATAAGATACTTTCTCCTAGTAAACTTACCTTGCACTCTGGACATGTCTTACTGAGTCCATCAGTACCGTCACAATTGCCATCTCCATCGTCATTATCGATGACGATGCTTGGCCCTCCGGTTGCTCCGCTCTTCACCAGGAGCTCGAGACGTTCGTCTCCACTGGGTTTAATTTCTTCCCTGGAAACTTTGTTGACTCCATCTTTCCCCTTTTCCTTATCCGCGAATGCGTTGTAGTTCTGTGTGGATGTAATGTGTTTAGACAAATCCTTAAGTTTTAGCTCTTCTTTTGATTCGAGTTCTTCCTTAACAGGCGATCTCCCTTCGTCGCACATCTTTTCTTCGTCACAAATCTCACTTCGTGGTATGGGAACCGGAATATCGCTGCAGGGGTCGGATTGCATGATGAAGTGCTCCCAGTTTGATCAGCTGGTCGTATTGTACTGCGAATACCGATCGTTTTTAATTAATTTATACTAAAATTTATTTTCATAAAAAGTGTTAATTACTTCACTGGAACGAAATCTCTTCAACTCTCATTGATTTTATTTTTTGACGAATTTTATTCTATTTCAAGGAAAATTTTGGTTAAAAATTTTAATAGAATTAAATTTTAAGCTTCAATTTAACTTTCAACTCGCTAACCATCACAAGTAAATGAAAATAAATAAATTTTCTATGTAAGCCAACAAAATATTGACATTCCCAAAGAAACTTGAGCGCAGTCATAATTAGCAAATTTAATCGTAGAGATCTCGATTTTTTTATTCATTATTCACTTTATTTAGTGCTGTATTGAATTGATGGGTGTCGTCGTCTTAAACTATTAGGTAAAAAAATGTAAAACACGATCTATTATTTATACTCTGAAAAGTGCACAAAACTAGCGATCTTGGATGAATTCATTGCTTGGCATTTGTCCATTTTATGGTCTTGTCATTTTCGCATGAGACTCGGGAATTTATTTAGCTTTGAATTGATTATATTTGCCGACGATTAACACTCATCTTCGACTCAATGTTATCAATTTCTATTCTGATAATTGAAGCGTTGAAGTAAATGTTTTTTACAGCAATAGTATAAATAGCTTTATAACTTCATGTCAAAGTTGTCAATGTACCATAATGAGCATAATATTATATTTATAAATAAAACGTACAATATTAAAGTAAAATACTCAAAGAAATGCATCTTTTATAATGTAATTCGAGAATTGAGAAGAGAAATGATAGTAAAAATTATCATGGAACAATCAGTTTGTCCTATAACGCAGCCACAGCACAAATGACTCTGCCACACTGCCTGCAACAGTCAATAGTGAGTGCACGATATTGCACAAGACTTTAACGTATAAAAGTTCTAATCCTAGATTTTATCTCGTGATAAGCGTACTGCAAGCTTTATTATCAGGAACTTCGGCCAAGCCAATCATATCGGAGTTAAAAAATGTTTTTTTTTTCTTATCAGTGGGCAAGAGGTCGTGTTGTGTTATTAGTGATTTTTCAGTATTAATGGATTTGCTAATGATTAATAAACTAGCATATTGGCATTAGTTGAAAAAATTTTCATTAAATACTAGAATATCTGAGCATAAATATTAGTATAGTGAAAGATACTGTGCATCACACCGAATTTTGGAACAACATCGGACATATTTTTCGATATTTACGGAATTGATAACACTAAATCTTAATATTAACTAAATGCCATGGGACCAGAAATGATCTCCCTCTGATACTTAATAATATGCGTTTGAAAATTACTTTTAATATAATACTAATAAAGACAACTAAACATAAACTAATAAAGACAACTAATAAATACTAATAAAGACAACACTTCTAAAGAATCCAGTGTCTCCGAGGTTACACATGTACAATGAATTTTTAATTTTATTTCCAAATATAAAAAAATTAATATTACACTTTTTTAATATTTAAAAAATTTAGATATTCAAAATAATTTATTCTGTCAATTGATTAATGCATTGTCTCCAACTTTACGCAAGTGTGCAAAATTTCAGATCGATTGGACAGGTAGAAGTGTGTTAAATATCCATTATAAAATTTGTAGAAGACAAAATTATTTTTTAATTTTTTTCATAATAATTTTTTTAATTTTCAACATTATTTACTCTGTTAATTGTTTAATGCATTGTCTCAAACTTTACGTAAGTATATAAGGTATAAGTGTGTTAAATATCGATTATAAGATATGTAGCAGACAGACAAACAATCAAACAACAAGAAGTGAAGTTTACGAGAACTGTTGTAAAAATGTTCTGATAATTTCATTTCGGTCAAGCAAGAGGCTAAGAAAATTACGTATAAAAACGCAATATGTCGCTGTACTAAGCAAACCAACATGTCGAGTTTCGTGTTTCCGATTGAAAATATTGCATTCTGTCGTGGATCTCTAATCAAAATAATTATTTCAATAGTTGAATAGCTTCGAATTTGTTAGGCGTTATCATTAATTTTAGAAAGAATTTCCGAACAAAAAATGTAATTCATGTTCATGTAATTTTCGTTCAAAGTTGGAAATTTCAAACATTTCCCATCGCCAAATTTTCTGTAAAATCGGGGCAATGTTAGGAAGAAGTTGATGATAACTAACGATTATAGATAATTTTGAAACTCAACTGATCTCTTCCACTAGATCAAGCATGAGATCAGTCCTTATACTTGTAGCACAACAGCTTTTTCTTCAATCCCGCGCCACAGTTGAAGCGCCGCAAAGTGAGGCCGTTTGCAGGGGTGATTTTGTGACAGAGTTCGGCGTTGTTGTTGCTGAGGTCCGAGAAGAACAGGTTTAGAGGATGGTAAGTGTCGTCAACTCCGTGTTCAACCTCCAACCAATGCACCTGAGATGCAGTTCCGTTTACTTTCTTGCCGACCAGTGGTATGAAGAAGCCCAACGTGTCATTCACCTCTGTCATCATATGACAAACATTAGTGATCCAGTCAATAAACATATAATGAGCGTTAAATACTCACTAATTTATATTGCTGCTGAATATTTTTATGAAATATATCGTCACGCACCTGCCATGATGTTGTTTTTGATGTATTCGATGTCTTGAATGGTGAAGATGATTCCGAATTTACCCCCATTGCTGGAGCAGAGGTCGGTGAAGCCGCTTGGTATCAAGGCAGTTCCATTGCTCCAGAAGTACAACTTGGGCTTCCCTTAGTAATTAAATAGATAATTTATTCCAGGATTGCATTGATGAACACAATGTTACTTTTTCATCGCAATGAAAATAATGAGACAATTTGTCTCTTGAGTTTCTAGACCTTATAGCAACATCGTCACATGCTTGAGCGATTCTTACATATAGTCTATATAGAACACGTGCACAAAGTTGTTAATTGTAAAACTTCAATGAGATATACATTTTCAACAACTGCACTAATCATGCCTCATTATGTTTCTTCAGGTTCTTGGTCGAGGTGAAGATTATTAAAATGCCCAACTGTATTCATCTGAACCAGTCAAAATAGACCACTAATAAGCTGGTTGATTTATATTTTTGAATCGAAACTTTTCAAGTACGAGAGATGTGTTCAAACAGAAATTGAAGTTTGAGTTATTTAGCTATAACGTGCCATGATAAATGTTTTTGAAAGGCCGTATCTTGCAACAATTTTGTTGGTATCACTTTAAAATAACGATTAGAAATACTGTTATGATCAGGCTTTCTGTCATTCAAAAGGAATGTACGTATTTGTTCATGATAACATTTAGATAAAATCGGTGAAAACTGTAAAATTCGACGTCGACCATATAATGTGATGTTTAATTAATTGGTGAAAATAATGTATATACAGCGCAATAATTACAGATTGCATCTGCTCGATAAAATGATGAAAAATAGTGTCAGCCAGGCGTTTATCGTAGGATTAAAATGAAAATAATTGCTGATAACGACAGCAATCGTCTCGGATATTGACGCTTGTGGCTTTAACTAAGACTGCTGAACACAATTTAATTGATCAAACAAAACCGTAAATGCTAACATTGTGGTTGCAGAATACGTTTTACTTCTAAATTGACAATGAAAATGTGCTGAAGTTCGAACTGTGGGTTCAAAATTCCATTACTAATTTGGCAATGAAAACAGTGAGGGAATTTATTAGAAGTAAAGCTGACCTAAAACTTTTGGTCTGAACGAGGACATTGATTACTTACACGCCCATGACAAATTGGACGAGTATTTAAAGTTGAGAATGTCAAGATAGGAGAAGTAAATTGTGGGTTTGATACTAGAGAGCTGTAACAATTCTGCCCGTAATCAGCGTGGTGGCCGTGTGGTTGAGTACATGAAAGTTGGAGCAGTGAGTTGTGGTGTTAAATCGCACTGTTTATACGAGCAAGCTGCCCAAATTTTTGTCCTCTATAGAGTCGGAAAAATGCTGGATTTAGCTTAATCAACGTTGATACCACAATCACTGTGACTATCATCATGACAACAGCTTAAAAATTCGGGGAATGTTTGTTCATGCAGGCAGGTTTGAACTGAGCGTCATCACTGGTGCGAGAAGGAAGATTAAGCTTCGGTATAAAGTTAAATAAATATGAACAGTCTCGATATTGTAGTTTGCACGCTATCGAACCTCAGGCGATAAAACGTCCATGACTACGAACCTCAAAAAATATTAATAATAAAGGCAATCAGTCACGGGCGAGAACAGCTCGATTTGTTCACTGCCTCCTCGAGAGGTTAAATTGAAATTGTGAGTGAATCACCAAGCATAAGAAGTTTGTCATTTCAAGTGAATATAAATCTAACGTACTAATCGCATGGTAGTCAAAGGTACTAATCAACTGCTATATTTAAACTTGTACCTGGCCTGGGAACATTGTGGTCACACTCGGAAGTTCTTAAATTAAGGTTCAAGGGCTCTAATTATTGCCCTCACGCACATTAATTCCTCACGTGTAGTTGACCTGGAATTCTTGCAGTCTTCCAAAGTCTTGCTTGTGCTCTCATTTTGACTAAAATACATTCTCAGTAAGAGTTTCTGGCACTCTTATTGATTTTTCTCGTGCTCTTACCATGACTCTCTTTCTCTCTCATTTACATATAGTCTAGTGCTATCAACATGACTCTTTAGAACTCCAATTAATACTTTTTAGTACTCTCACCAGTATTGTCTTGGACTTCTTTCATTATCTCAATATTTACTCATGTTTACTGTAAGACCCTGACACACTCACCACATATATTGCAACCCACTAGGAATCGGACTTTGAATCAAAGTAAAGACGCAAAATTTACGTCTATTAAACGTTGTACCAACGTTATTTCGCTGTCAAGAACGACCTAACAGCCCACCAGGCGAATTTCGTTGAATATACCTTCAATACATTTGTTTTGGTTAAAATTCAACGTTTGTTCAGCGTTATTTCAACGTCAATTGCCTGGAGGTTGAGACCCACTTTCTTTGACGAAGGCGACGGAGTCTGCATGAGGGGAGATGGTGCGGTGCGCCTCAGGGACGCGGCTGATCCTGCACTCGAACTCCCCTCGTTTGTCCGAGGGCGTGACGGATGATGCTGAACATCCTATATCCTGCACGCAATGGGCGCGGCAAGATCCTGCACAGTTAAATTAAAGAGATGAAGATTTTACTCGCAAATGTTTTATTACCCGCTGTAGCATGCGAGAGAGATGAGATTATTGCGACAGTTAAATGCGACAACTTTTTGTCTATAATTTTCGTTACTATTTATCTCCCGAGTTTGAATCAACCGGATTTACGGGTTTGTTTATTGAACTCGAATCAAGTGATGAGCATGATTTTTCTTTTTCGTTATTGAAACAATTAAAAAATGAGTCAAAATGTGTGAATACATTGCATTATTTCCTACATGGTTTATGATATTTGATTATCCTGTAAAATTTTGTAAGGCCACATGCAAATATATTGTCAGGCAGTGAAGGCCCCTATTCAGTTTGTATGTTTTCAATAAATACGATACTGAGTATAAAATAAGTAATTAGAAGAAATCAACTAAGTGGTGCCAACAGTGCTAACGTACAAAGAAAATATCAATAGTAAATTAAGATATGTCCAGAAAGACACACGTTGATAATTATCAAATTATTTACATTTACGCTAACAGGGCAGACGTACGTGGAGTCGAAACGTTTAAAGTTTCATTGGGAAGAGCGATCCTGTAGTCGTAGAAGGAGAGCAGGTCGTAGCGATGCGACCACACACCCGCCACCGACGCTGGCAGCCAACTGAAGAGCAGGCAACACGCTACCCTCGCTGCCTTCCCCATCCTGCGCTCTGGAAGTATTATTTCATAATAATAACATTGGAATAATAAGTACTTATATCAACATTATATTTCACGATAAGAACTTATATCAATTATTTGCTCAAGTCGCAAGTTCACCAAGAATTTAAAAGCAGAGAAAATGGCATTCATATTATGATATTCAACATTTCTTCAATGAAAAAGTTTTGGAGATCAGCTCCATCTTCAATTCGAAAGCTTTATATAAATACAATGCAATATTCCATTATATATCCTGGATCCCGCGTACGTTGAGGGTGGCAATGCACACTAGGATAAATTTCTATGCGTAAGTTATGATAGGCTAAGTCATGCGCCCAGCCTAACGAAAACATGAATCACTTGATGAAGGCACTTTTACGTGGAAAATTCGGATGACTTTAGGGCTGGGATTTCCGACTCAACAGTTTTGCCCAAGTGTCAGTAGCGGAAAGCGTAAACGCTTTTCCGTTGTAACCGGAACGAACCAAAAGCAATTAAATTTTTACCAAGCTCCTTCTCTATTTTTTTTCACGGCTTTAGCAACTGGGCCACTCATAATTCCTTAAATACTCAACGGATCTGTATGAATTTTGGAATGTGAGTATTAATTATCTATTCGCTGCCGCAGGAATTATTACAGATTTTTACATAAATTATTTTTTAATTAAAACCAATAAACGTATTTTTTAAGCAACTGGGCCACTCATAATTCCTTCAATACTTAACGGATCTGTATGAATTTTGGAATATGAGTATTAATTATCGATACGCTGCCGCAGGAATTATTATAGATTTTTACATGACTTATTATAGGGTTAAGTTAGGTTAGGTTAGGAAATAATTCATGCAAAAATCTATAATAATTCCTGCGGCAGCGTATCGATAATTAATATTCACATTCCAAAATTCATACAGATCCGTTAAGTATTGAAGGAATTCTGAGTGGCCCAGTTGCTGAAAAAATACATTTATTGGTTTTAATTAAAAAATAATTCATGTAAAAATCTGTAATAATTCGTGCGGCAGCGTATCGATAATTAATACTCATATTCCAAAATTCATACAGATCCGTTAAGTATTTAAGGAATTATGAGTGGCCCAGTTGCGCGAGTCCGCAGGCGAGTCCGCTGGCGAGTCCGTAGAATTGTCGATCGAGTGTGAGTATCTAAGAATTTGTTCAGTTGAGATAAAAAACTTAATGAATTCACAACACGAAATTCATCAAATAATCTATTGGTAATTTAATTGTAATTAATTACCAATTAACAAGAATTTATCATCATAATTTCTACTGTCAGTGACACATAAGTCGCCACTCTGCAGATACTGCACTTACCTCGCCGCTCGTCACTGAAAACCGTATATATATATTACTGGTACTGACTATACTAAATTACTGCTCAGTTTAAGGATTTGTAGGGTTCAATATCCACGTAATGACAACGAAACTGCTTAATTGTGCTAGAAATATGTGGTGCATTTTTGTTCACAAAATTGATCGTGTTTATTGAAGGTCGGCGTTTTCGATACTGCTGGCAAATTGCAAGGTTATCGGCATTAACGGTAGACGAAAGCCTTCACGACCTCTCACCTGCAAAGCTTGTCAGCAAGTTACTTACTTTGTTAAGATACGGCGCAGCACCGACGTAGGTATTAGCGCCCATTGTCAGCAAGTGACCCAGACACGAGAATCGAAGTTTTGTCCAGCCTTGTGAAGTTCTAAATGAGTTGAGTTATAGATGAGCTGAAAATAAGTAAACACAAAAATAAAATTTCAATTCAGACTAATTCTATGAGTTTCATAAAGCTACAAATTATAGCTGAATAAAATTCAACAATCTTTAAATTATTTATAATCGTGCGAAGAAATCGTTTTGGGAAACTGTTTTAGCACATTATAAACCAATAAGGCCTAACTATAGCAAATACTACGGCGTTTTAGACGAACTATACTCCAGACCAATCAACTATTTATTGCTACTATTTGCACTCGTGGCTGATTGACGCACGATGATCAGTGGCGCGAATTCGGAAGGGCAATTCTCCCCGTCGATTCCTGATGTTGGTCTTAGTGAACCTGATGTGATAAAATTCCTTTATTTTGCAAGAGAGAATAATGAGAATACAAATTTAAATTTACAAATGAACGCAAATTCATGTGTAGTCTAATGTCCTGCAGTTTTCTGATGCTGAATCCCAAACTTTACCGAATTAAACCCAACGCATAGACTTATCCCAGGTAAACCTGACTGCAAACATTTCCCTAGCATGCATTAAATAGGGTGAAATTACTTCGGTGACCTCATTTTACAACGGATCGAACGCCTCACGTGACAAACTTTGCTTTTGTCTGACATTTATTGGCTCTAATCGACCATGTTGCCCAAATTGCTGTCATAAACCGAATTGCTTTTATTCAAATATCACGATCACGTTTCGTGACTACACGTATAAAAATTAATGAGCCATACTGTCTAATTAGTGACACTTTTTACACGTGGCACCAATACGCATTTTTGCCGTTTCAAACTGGTTTAACTGATTAACGGAATTTCTGCGGAGTTCGTGTCGACTTCATCGACGCGTCACTTTGTCCTGAAATCAACAGTAATAGAGTTTTTTCACCTTGGCATTTATCAACAAAATTTATGTGACTTTATGCACACAGATTATTTGATATGTTCAAACATTCTTGCTGAGCTGGAACAAAAAGCCAGCGAACTGGAGCACGATATTGTTCGGATCGTAGACCACTTAAAACTTTACCTGATCGAAGCCTTTGATGAATTTAAATATAAAAGAGCGTCTAGCTTTGGGGTCATCTCAATTTTGTTCGGTATACGACAGGCTGGGGCGTATATTGGAATTTGAATTTAATTCGTGTATAATTGGAATTTAAAACGACAATGTTCCATGGACATCGTTTATTCAATGTATAACTAATGGAAGTTAATTTGGCTTTATACATTTTATACACGATACACATATAGAACAAGACGATAATGGGACAGCAAATGAAGAAGACTTGGATATTAATAACATTAAGTTACAAAGATCAAGCAAAATTACCATTAGAAAAATCGAACATTATGGAACATGAAACTATAGCGACGCAGCACCATCTCTGCGCCATACCTTCATCATAAAGCGGTTATCATTACACGAAAATCTTAACTTAGGAAATTTCCAATAAATCAACCTCATTATTTTACTGATGGCGATCAGAACCGCCGAGACATGTCAGTAGTTTGTCCTATTGACTGGCAAGTCTTAAAAAAATATGCACATTGCAGAAACTCTCCTAAAATTAATCATTTGAGCGAATATTTGTCTAATCAATTGATTATTTCGACATTTTAGAATGGGGAAAACTTTCAATTCGAACTGACGCGCACTGTAATAGTTAAGCTATTCAAAAATGTAGGCGCCATAGTAAATACAAGTTAGTTATGATAATGAACATTCTGCATTATTAGATGGCGGAGCATTGAATTATTCAAGAACGGCTGATATAATATTATATATAGTGCGTGATTAACTGTTAAACCCCCTTAGGTTTGATAATATCTACTTCTATATAAACTTGATTGATATTTGGGAAAGCTTCTTTGATACTTGGGGAAAAGTTCTTTTCAACGGTTATATGTATAGTGGTTGGGATTCTATATAATAAAATGACATAAATTTACACTTGACAGACATGAGAAGTTTAAATATCGACGGAACTCGAAGTAATAGAATTGCAAGTACTTATAGAAAATACCCCCACATCCTGATAACACTGCAACTTGGGATAATAAGGTGCAATGGAAAAAACAGCCTAATTTAGTTCGAAATCTTTATATAATTAAAAAAAAAATAGCGAACTTGCGTTCTGATAGGGTGGCCAAACAATTGTACGTGGAACGCGAACTATATATTGAAACCTACTTACATGGAAACACGTGAACCTTTGAAATACAATCGAGCGACTCAATTGATCAGAAACTTCCTAGTTCTAAAAATTTTACGGTACAGGTGGTAGCGATCACCAATTAGCAATCACCGTCTGGGAGAGCAGCCATCACATTCAGCAATCACCAAATGGGATTGGGTAGCAGCAATCACCGAATGGAAGAGCAGCAATCACCGGATGGGAGAGCTGCAATCACAACTGAAGTGTACTTAGCAATCACTGCCATCGGAGCAAAAGAACGTGTATAATTAACTTGATATTCAGTAAAATCAAGCCAATACAGACGCCAGAAACGATGGAATAACGCGACAGCTTCGTACACAACAGATTGTATTGAACATTACGGCGACGGTTGTTAATACGGGAAATATGCCATGTGAATTAACTACACTGGTTATTGCAGTACAGCCTGAAATGATAAGTTAAATACTAAAGAGCAAGACAAACATCTAAATACATTCCACTCCAGCCAGGGAATTCATAAGTAGAAACTAAGAACAGCAAGATTATCGAGACATAACGTGGTTTGGAGGTTAAGTTTCATGCCACCCCGGAGTAAATCTACCAACTTTTCGTCAATTTTATTCCCTGGCAATTTTCGCTCTCTTATTCACTCAAAATCCCCAATTATTTTGAGTGGGTCAATGTGACCTACTGAAGTGCATCAAAAAGCTCACTAGAATGCATAGATTTAGACTCACTTTCGTATCTTTGGACTCACTTTCATGTTTGGGACATTCAGCCTCACTATGTTGTGAACAGGAAAATGTGAATATCTTTTGAAATACATCTTTGTAACTAAAATTAAGTGAATCTAAAATGATTACACAAGCGTTTCACTCTCTCTTCGGACGGCCAGAATAAATTTTGGATTTTACACGCTTTTCCAGATGAACCAAAAGAAACAATATGATTGGACACAGTGCTCATATTATCAATAACTGGATAGTATAATTCATATTCCTATGCAATTAATGGATAAATAAGCAGGTTAACAGTGTAAAACAAAAGCTCGTTAGAAATATGACTTTCTCAACTGCAACAAATGCTTGGCTTGGAACGTCTGAACGGCGCAGCGTTGGGATGTGGGGTAGTTTTTAACGTTCCAATATGCTTAGGTTTCAAGATACATCCTTTAAATCTGAATCATTCCTAAAAAATTTTACAAATATAAATATTCAAGCCCTAATAACAAACGAATACAATCCTGTGGACGTGAAAACTCACAAAACCTTGTAAATAAAAATGTTGGATAGAAAAACTTATTAAATACGTAATTGATAAATAATGTCCTTATAACAAAGATATTTGCGCGAGATTATTAGAACATATACTTCAATTCAGATAGTTTCAGAATAACAGAAAATGCAGACAACTTCGATTAAAAGTAAACAACATTTGCGCGGAGTTCTATAGGAACGGAGTATACAAGAGTATAGACTTGAGTTCGAAATTGTGTAACGTGAACACAAATATTGAGCAAGGTAAAAACAAAGCGCTACCTTAATACACGTGTATTTGTAAACCTTTTGAAGATATCTAAGTTTAAAGAGACACTGACTGGGGAATGAGAAATGATCGAGAGCTTTCTAGCTCAGAACATGACAAATACAGAGGCTTTTCCAGTACAATGACACAAAGATTATGCGTTTACTATACAAGAGAAATTGATCAGTTACAATCATTTGTGACCATTGAGATCCAATGTCAAGTAGAACACCAGATGATCTCATGTGCAAATACGAACAATTTTGATATTTGTTTAAAATTTTCACGACTGCAAACAGAAACGGCAATTTCCGACACGTTATTAATTTGTGAAAAGGTGTAATCCGCATTCTGCATTGCAATATTTCTCGTGATAAACTCATAAGTTAAATAAATAAAGATTTCCTTCTTTAAAATGCCCTCACAAGGAAGAACGTCATCAAGTGAAGATAAAATTATACAGTGCATGTAATGGAGAGAACAACACAACACCGAACACGAAATGACAGCACAGACACAAACAATATACACCACGATTGCTCACCAGTCAGCCATAATTCGCTTCTTCAGATATTGATTTCACCGTACTTCCTTCATAAGCAACCCTACACTAAAATTCATCATTCATCATAGCTAACTTTCTACACAATCAAGACTTCACTATGAGGCATCAATCATCATAGTAACATTTTCTTCACAATCAAGACTTCACTATAATTTTTCAATCATCAAGACACACATTCTTCGATAGCAAGACTTCACAATGAGGCATCAATCATCATAGTAACATTTACTTCCATAGCAAGACTTCACTATAGTTCATCATAGAAGCACGTTACGATGTGAATACGGTGAACGTACATCGTAACACGACTACTCCATTGATGTTAGCAGGGTATTGCCTGTGTTGAGTACGTTTGGTAGATGTCATTGCGCATTATATTATAATGAATTCCAATACAGAATATTCAGAGATAGAAGAGTGAATCCTACATGCGAGTCTTAATATTCACGTTCCCTTGTAAATTGCCACAAGTTACTCGTAAATTTTTTATCTATATAATGCCGGTAAAGTATACAAAGTGAATCATAACTAACTTCCCATTACAATATATCATAGATGATTTCAGTCTGTATACGAGTTTACAAAACTAAACCCTTCATCTTTAATTATCTCACTGAATAGTTGGGCCTTTAATGCCAGTCGCGACAACTTAATTACAAATAAATATTTTCTCATTCCAACTTAGTCGTATTTTAACAAGAATTTTATAGATGAATACCAAGAGCAAAAATCTAGGACCAAAAAAGTTCGTTATTAGCAAATAGAATAAACGCGGCGCTAGTCAAACGAAACTACACCGCGGTAAGTTGTCGGAGGTTAACGATAGCGATCGGAAGTTAGAAAGAAAGTGAAAAGTTAACTTCGTTCATGGAAAACAACTTAACAACAATAAAACAATGAACACTATCCACAGTTAATCATAAAGAAAATACACGAATAAATCGAGATAAGATATCCTTAAAAGAATAGGTACACTTGACGTAGAAAAAGAGAGGGCCGGAGCGACTGGGCTAGGGAGGTGCAATGTACACGGAATCTATCAGCAAATCGTACTATAAAGTCAAAGGGATATTATTTTTTTTTAATTATTCTACAAGGAATAATTTAATCTATCAATACATCAATCGGAATAGAATGTGTCGTCAGTATCAGCTCGATCTGATGTAGCATCAGATATGCCAAAGATTGGATAAAGGCTGATATTTGAGAGAAATAGCAGTAAAGATAATGCTACAAAGGCCGTTACTGAACGGACAACATCATTGTTACATTTGAGAATATATGAAAGTATTCAATGATGAAGCTTCGACAGCAATATTCTACCAATGATCTTTTGATGCAGTCATTTCAAGTGCATCTCTGACGGTCTTGCTTGCCACTTGCTAGGACTTGAATCAATTTGGTACGCGCTAGTTGATACTTTTGGCTGCGATGAGCGTCACAACTGCCTGTAATCTGAATCGATTCAGATTACCTATTCAGTAATCAGTTTATATAGTCATGATAGCAGCTAAAAAGACGGCGCTGGTGTTGTAGGTTCGCTTAGCCTGTAAAAATAACAGGAATTTGAGTTTGGGACTTGCAACAAATATTGAATGTTCTTTGTGATACGAATTTCGAAAGTGCGAATTTTGGTTTGCCGAGTAACTGGACTAAGCTGAACCTGCGGCAAAACACGAGATCGAATTCAAACAAACTCAAGCACGAGAACCGATATAAAAGATTGGAAAAATCTTGTGTTAGCAGTGTATTGTAACATTTTTTCCTGGTATAATTTCAGACAGCGAAATCTAAAAATAAAATACTGTGTTTTGTGAACTTCCTCAAGTTTACAAAACACAGTTTGTTTTGTAAACTTCCAGCACTAGGTAAGTATCGATAATTGGCAGCCACTGTAACTGAAAACAAAAAGTTTGAATGAACACAATTTTTGAACACCATGAACATGATTGCCTGGTTCACTGTAAATCAGCAAGACAATGAAACCATCCTTTTCCTTAAAAAATAATTTGCGTACATCGAAAGAGAAATAAAATAGATTTCAGCAAACTATGAACTAAGATTATACACCGTGATTTACAAGAGGAACACTGAACATATCACACATAAAGCGGGGTTTATACGTTCTAAGGATGCTATGTATTGTGCACAGATATGGGGCACTAAAATATATGCGAGCAATTGATATAATGAAGCGTTTCAGAGAGTCGAAGAGCTAATATAGCTTTATTATCTTACTAAAATAACACACTACAATGTAGAAAATTATGTATAAGAAAGCTTTATTATCCTCTGCTTGCGCCTGTATCATGATACTGTAACACGGGAAAATTGGCATAATTACAAAAGAAGCTCCAAGAAAAAAAAAACTTAAAGAAATACAAGAATCGCGCAAGCAGTTTCTCCATGCCCTGAACAACAACAACCTGACGTTTGGCCTCGATAAGAAAGGAATATGCTAGTATACATTGATAAGAAACGAACTGCGAGACATGATGCTAACATCTCTCAACGTCTGCTTCATATATTACCTCATGACATGATGTATCGAAATTTATTATTTCGTCTATGGTCTGCAATAGAGCCAGTAATTCGATATTGAGCCCGTCAAAGTACCAACATTTCTGAGAATGTGTCTCTGATAAATTTTGCGACTCTTACATGGTTCCTTGTGAATGTGTTGGACTGAACGAAACCAAGGTGTTTCGGTACCGATATCAAAGACTAGATGGGGTGACGTTCTTACACGGAACGCGTCCCGTAGTTTATCAAAATGATTTCATTAGACTCAATTAAACGTGGATAAATTGGAATACAACAGAAGAATGATCTCAACTAACATGGGCGCGAAGGCTTACTTTCCTTTAACAACGATCGTCAAAATTTTTCCATTAAACGTTGTAGTGATAACCTTTACAACTCCAGTTCCCAGGCACATGATGACCTAGCGACAGATACATTCATTTTAAAAAGCAAACTAGAGCAAATGATGATTATATGATAATTATAAACAAGACTTGATCCAAACACTCACGCCGCACTTGATTATAAACAAGACTTTATCCAACACTTCAGTCTGCGGCAATAGGACTGTTTATTTTCACTTTTTGAATGCCGCTCCGTCCCAGAGAAAGTGAAGTAAACACACGCATTTTCGTCTCGAGTTTTTCGGGAATGGACAGGAAATGATGTGCATTACACGAGGAATATATTTCATTTTGACGCTTGTTGTTCCATGATAACGACGATGGTGAAGTAACCCGCGCGACTTTATCGGTTCACTGGAGACAAAGAAAATAATAAAAGGCGTAAGTGATAAAAATACAAATCGTCATGGCAGCAGCACGATTGGTAAGAAGGACTAAGAAGCGAAGCAGCAACTTGCACGCGCAGGCAGGCAAGTTCATGTAATTTTTAGTGTTTATGACTTCGTATCTGGAAATGTGATTTATGCCGAGAAATGTTTCAGGATTAAAATATAGTAACCAATTAATATTGTGCTACATTAAAACAAACTCATTTTCGCATCCAAAATTTCTTGAACTTGTTTTTTGGAGAGGTTTTCTCAAATCGAGGCTCCTTTAGGTCACCAGAATCTTCCTGCTCCATGCAGTCGGCTGGTGGAGAGCAGAATTCCCTCAAAGTCCTCCTCCTAGAATGAATACTCGCCAAGCGTCTCGCTCCTGAAGCACTAATAGAACTAGTGCGTTGAACTTCTGTGGCGATGGTAGAATCAAGGTAGCTTACTGCAGCAGTGCTAGTATTATCAACATGCCTCACTTCAACAGCGCTAGCTAAATCATCGATGGATCTAGGTACACGTTTTTTATCCATTGGTCCGCCAAAGAAAGTGTGAGCTCTTTTCACAGGATTCGTTTCACTGCCACAGCGAGACTCAGGAACAAACGATCTTTGACTGCTGCTGTGAGAAAGGCTATTGACCGACGCTAGGTCTTCAGGGTGTCGGGGCTGTACGGCGTGAAAAGCAGCAGATTCTATAATTCCCTGGCTGCTGGGCACACAAAAACCAACATTACGATGCGACGGGCCTCTTCTAGAAGGGTAAAACTCAAGACCTTCGTAATATTTTTCCCCTTCCATTTCAAGTTTATTACTTCCAGATGGTAACAACGGTGAAATACGGTCGGAGGCAGAAGACGCTATTTCTTGTTTTATAGAGAAAGAAACGTTTCTCAGTTCCCTGACGAGCCGATCAGGAGGCAAGGGTGCGCAGCGCTGACTTTTCGTCCGGTCAACTTTCTTCACGAGCGACGGCGCTAAATGGCGAAAATTTTCTGATTTTTCAATGCATGCCCTGAAGCGATCTCTGTCTTCACGCATGCGCTCTTCAGCGTCAGTTTCGTTGACCTCGGAGATGATCTCGTTGAGGGCCTCGTGTATGGAGGCGTAGTTACTTTCAGAACCAAGAGCCTCGTATGAGCGTCGCATTGCTGGTGCTAGAGAATAGCGTTTGTAAGCGCTAGAGTTTACGCAGTCAGGAACGCAAACACTAGACAAATTATCGCCAGTGACAGACTGATCTGTGAGTACATGTTTGTATGACGAAACGCACGAATATATTGAGGCAGCATCATACTTCGAGATATTGCGGCTTTCACCACACATAGCGGAAGCAAAAGAGTCGGGATTGGATAGTCTTTGTTGGGTCAAGAAATATACGGATTTCAAGTCACTTAGAGGCTCCAAGTTGCATAGGTCGTTCAATGCCTTAGTAGAAATCGAAGTCTTGCTCTGAAAATCGAAAATATTCTCACATGACTTTCTTCTACTGACGATGTTCTCAGATGACTCGCTCTTTTTGCTGTGATGAGATTCATAATTATCCTTTATTCTACTCTCGTGCAAAGAATCTATCTCATCACCTTCGAGCTCATCTGGAGTGGATAAATTATTCTGAACGTTCATTCGTCTCTGCTTACGACGTCCAGCTTCAATCTCTATTAAATCAGAAAAGCTTGCATTGCTTGGTAGGCTTGTCGCAGGAAGAATCCTTGCAATGACTCCTCCATGAACGGAGTTTGTAGCAGGAAACGAAGGCTTGCTGCGTGGGTTGCTTGGCGCAGCAGTAAAGGTTGACAAAGATGGCAGCAGCTGACGCTCGTCTTGAGACGAGGAGAACCCACTTCTGGGCTTAGGACTGACACTCAAACGTAAATTTTGTGTCAGGAACTGACGAGTTTCCTTGAAACTGAGTGAGTCAGGAGATCGTCCTTGGGCATCTAGGTCGGAGCGTGACGTAGACAGAGGTGCGGATGTTGCAAACATTCCATTCTCGTACAAAACTTTGAATTTTTCAACAACACCACCACTTGCCAAAGTTAAAGGAGGAGGATTTTTTCTGTTTTCGAGTTTGACATCTTTTGGCTTGGTGCTACAGTCTTGAGAAAGTTTACTAGGATTTCCAGCTGCTTCTGTATTCGGTAATAAACTTGGTATTTCATAACTGCGAGACTCGAGAGTTCCAGACGCTTCATCACCGCGAGGCCTAGAAACATCACTATTTTCTTTCTCAGTTACATTTAAATTCACATCACAATATTCTGTTTCACTAATCACTTCAGGAGATTGCACAATATTTTCAGCACATTTACATTCATTGGGAATATTATCACGTGAGCCTCCAGCAGGCGAAGGAAAACGAGGTCTCTGTTTAAAGGGAGCACCCAAAGCGGCACCAACAGAACGACTACAACCAACATCGCTACAACAGTCAGGCTTTGGTTCAGAAATTATATTAGGTGTAGTGTTTGAGACTTGGCTACTGGTAACGAATTTACTAAACGATGCATTTAATTCACTCTGAATAACATTGGTCTTGGAGGCGAGGGGGACACATATAATAACTTCTGTACCACTAACACCACAAGTAACAGATGATAACTGCTCACGAGAAACTTGACAATGAATTAATGATGGTGACACATTACCAGCACTATCATAGACATTAACAGATGACAATGAATTTCTATTTTCATTAGAACAAACATAAGTTGCATTGTCTGCAGGAGTGCCAACAGGAACGTCTAATAAATTATCTTCTCTACAAATGTTAACATCACAAAATTTTATCGCTTCAGTATCATTGTGATGAAACTCAATGTCTGATGTGGTCACGGGACAAACAACACTGCCACCTGCAAAAGCTGCAGTAGGGACAACGTTGTCAGAATGGGTAATGTCACGCGCGGGTACCTCTGTTATAATTGCGGTTTCAATCATATATCTGTTTCGTATCGCCGTTTCAATAGCAGTTTCTGCAGTATCCGTAGTTTGTATCACTGCTTCAATTGCTGTTAATACAGTATTGTTGCTAAAACCGCTCGTTTCACTCCCGACACTCTTTGTTCCATTTCCAAGAATTTCACCCACTGGATCTAATTCTACATTTGTAGTTATGATTGCACTACTTACTGACGCAGCAGGAGCGCCCGCTGGCGTAGATGATTTCACTATAGGGATAACAATCAAGTTTTCACGGACAGAAAGATGCTCTAAAGTCGCTCTGGTACCGCGGTCCGAAGCACCAGCAGAAACGCATTCTTCATAAATAGGTAATGGATCACAATTTTGTTGCAATGGTGAGCAACAATGGTGTTTGGATGATGAGCCACAATGGTGTTTGGATGATGATGAAGTTTGTTCTCTCATGTTGCTGGATTTTCTGGAGTATATGCCTCGGCGAAAAGAGGAGCGAAGAGCGCGATGTGGCTCATTGAATTCCCCCCTTCTTCTGCTCACACGTCCGTCCTAACTGTGAAAATAGGGAATAACTCGGTGATGAACAATGAATATAGTGATCAGTGAACAACAAAGTATGAGGTGCTGCTCACGCGCACGAAGGTCTTCTAAATAAGAGTATAGGCGTTTCTAGATCAGAGTAAAATATGTGTTCAGTGGCTAAAGTAGCCTCTTAGCTGATCATCGCTTGAACCCAGCTTCTTAAATATTAACTCATAGGCAAACTAGTGGCGGCACCTATGGGCACCAAAAAGCTTCTCCGCGTCTGAGGAAGACAGCATTGCCACTCACCACTTTGAGGGGAAGGCACCACTGCCACTCGCCACTTTGAGGGGAAGGCACCATTGCCACTCACCACTTTGAGGGGAAGGCACCACTGTCACTCACTACTTTGAAGGGAAGGCTCCACTGCCACTCACCACTTTGAGGGGAAGGCTCCACTACAGCTCTCCTACGCGCTGGTCTCATCCCAGTCATCGCTGTCACTGTCGGTGTCTGATGACGTGTCAGAGTCGCTCACTTCGAACGCAAACCGCCGCTGTAAAACAAATAATAAATCAGATCTCCTCTCCTGGCAATACGCAAATGTTTCTAGGATTTACATTGAAGTCTTCCTATCAAAAAAGCAATAACTCTTTCATGTTCAAAGCCTTAACGGATCGCGAACTTTGCAAGCTATCAGTGATCTTACAAGACAACAGCACGCAAAAGTTTTAAAGACTCAAATTGAAGTTTATAATCAAATGGAAAATCACTGTGTTTCATGTTCAATGCCAATTAGAAAATTTGTTCTGACTAAATTTCGAGATGATGAGCGAATATACTGCATAGACAAGAATAAAATCACGATTCCAAGTCTTCACAACCTGTGTTATTTTCAAATGCGATCTCTAGCATATCCAACAAGCATACAATACACAACTACCTAACTATAATTGTAATAATCACAGATTAATGTTCACCATGACACACAAAACAATAACAATGGCATGTTCAAGCGCTGGCACTGATTCCTTCTCGGGGTCGATAGCTCGAAGGGTTACGGCCGTAGGAAATTTAAGTGATGCAGTCTCCCATGACATTCTAATTTCGTAGCCAATAACACAAGAGCAGGAGCCACTTACCTCCTGCAGGATGGAGGCGACGTCCTTGCTGGGGTCAGGCACCACCCGCGCCCCCGCCCCTCCGGCCCCTCCAGCGCCGCGCTCTACAGGGTCAACCTTACGCAGCTTGATCCCTGCACACACATCAATTCCATAGTAAAATAAATAGACCAGAGCCAGAGATATGTAAAGCTTAATTATATGTTGTAATTTTTTTAAAAGTAATTCAAAATAAACCTGCAGCACCTCACCCTAAGCTGATGAGTATAGGTACCTTAAGCAGTTTGATCATTGCACACAGTTATATTAGATATAGTCAGATGGGGGAAGACAGGACCGAAATCACTAACAAGCAAGTAGCACCTATACCATGAATAACTGGATAACCCTGAATCTACCAGAAGGTGTGCTTGCGCAATGGGCTTCTAAGCTAAAACTCAGACTTTTTGAAAACAATAAAGTTTTCTGTATAGAGCAAATAGAGTGAATCGCTGAGGTAAGACAGAACCAACTAGTAATTCTTACAGTTTTTAATCAATGTATAGACCTGATATTAAATATTATCCATATACAAACACATTAGTTGATTAAACAACCATCTGTTACTGTTTTGTGTTGTAGGAAGTCAACTTCATTAAAAGTTACATTGGAGTTTTTGTCATGAGAAATAGTAAGTTAGTTTTTAGGGCAAATAGTTTTCGCCCTAAAAGTAAGTCGCATTTGGTTCATTGTAGCGCACTGATAAGCACTCGATGTTTATTCCACCAGTGTCATTGTCTGTCATATGATCTGGTAATCAGCCACTATGTCATTGGTCACGTTTTTCCATGGTCATTTCCAACATTTCTTCAGGTCCCTTTTGGTTGGAGGTCTTTCAGTTGTCCAATTTATTGATTGTTACTTTAACGGTTGATTCATATAATATATCAGAGTCATAATTGCCTTTGTGTCTGAGTCTATTTGCATCTGCCTTTTATTATTTTGCTGTAATGTGTCTTTCACAGTCACTCTACTTTCAGCTACCTCCATTGCTCTGCTCTCTCTCTTTCCTCTCTTCATACTATCAGGACCACATGTTTCCTAACTGAAGTGTCAGATGTCATGACTTTTCTTGCTAACTGCATTTGTGGTGAGCTTCTTCGAACATAGCCCATGCCCTTTCAAAAATTTGTCAATCCAGTCTTGTCCAGCACAGGCCAGGTCAGTTAATCTTTGAAGGCAGTCAGTTACATACATATGGATTTTTCCTCAAGCTGATCCTGCACATAGTTAAGTAGCTCACTAATGGGAAGAAATATCCCTATTTTCACCATCCCTTTGATGTAATTAACAATAGTGCACTAAATTTCTCCAATTAAAACAAGTTAAGATGGTTATTTCGTGGAAGACAAAAATTTTATTAAAAAATGTTATATTTGCATTTATTCCATGTAGTTTATTTTCATTACTTTATTTATTTATTCCATGTAGTTTGATAAACGATAGGGTAAAACAGGACTACTTGTGGGGTATAAGGGATCATTTGGTGGTCTCGTCTTACCCCATGCCCAGTCCTTTTTTACCCCATTTTGGAATGCATGTCAGGCAGTGGGTAGCAGGTAGGAATGCCTAGTATGGCTCAAAAGTTGATATTACCTGCCTACATCTACAAACCTGGCCAAAAAATTTTTATGTCATTAGATAGAGCTTAAGGTGGCCTATTTTCTGATCTATGTTCACATAGATATTCCTTAAAATTTGCCAAAAATTATTATTTGCAGCACAGTCTTAAACGAAACCTTGAAATGACTGGAAATGGTTGCTCTAACACATTCATCCATCAAATTCACACACATTCTTACACATTCATCCAAGTGCAGTTAGAATGCACGCAATGGGCTGGTCATTTCTTACCTCATTTGACTATATGGCGAAGTAAATAGATAAACGTTACCAATAAGAAATTGCTGAAAGCTCGTGTAGCTTTGAACAGATATCTCGGGCAGCTTTACCATCTCTTATAGCCTTGAGTAGATCACTAAATGCTTTACCGTCACATATAGCCTTGAGTAGATCACTCTGGGTGCTTTACCGTCATGTATAGCTTTGAGTAGTTAACTCTGGGTGCTTTACCGTCACGTATAGCCTTGAGTAGATCACTCTGGATACTTTACCGTCACGTATAGCCTTGAGTAGATCACTTTGGGTACTTTACCGTCACGCATAGCCTTGAGAAGATCACTCTGGGTGCCTTACCGTCACGTATAGCCTTGAGTAGATCACTCTGGGCACTTTACCGTCACGTATAGCCTTGAGTAGATCACTCTGGGTGCTTTACCGTCACGTATAGCCTTGAGTAGATCACTCTGGGTACTTTACCGTCACATATAGCCTTGAGTAGATCACTCTGGGTGCTTTACCGTCACGTATGGCCTTGAGTAGATCACTCTGGGTGCTTTACCGTCACGTATAGCCTTGAGTAGATCACTCTGGGTACTTTGCCGTCACGTATAGCCTTGAGTAGATCACTCTTGGTGCTTTACCGTCACGTATAGCCTTGAGTAGATCACTCTGGGTGCTTTACCGTCACGTATAGCCTTGAGTAGATCACTCTGGGTGCTTTACCGTCACGTATAGCCTTGAGTATGTCTCTTATACACATCTAGANTGAGGGTGCCACTAGGGGGGGCTGGGGGAGGCTGAGAAGGTCTGTTAGACGTCACCCGAGGCAGGTTGCGGTTCGGGGTGCCACCTGTAAACATAATTTAATGCTTTACTTATCATATATAAAACAAATAAAATAACACTCACCATGACTCATATTATAAGCTTGAAGCTTTTACACTTCATCATTCATCAGCTTCAATTCTGAATTCTGAAAAAATTCTTTATGGCCCATATTAAAATCACACTTTGATGACAAGTTTAACCTTTCGTCTTCTAATGGCAACTTTAGGCCCTCTAGCTGTATTAAAATGGGCCGCAAATTAGGTTCTCAGCTACAGTATCATGAGAACCCGCCATTTCCAGGACCAGTATCAACAGAACTCACCATTGCCAGCACCAGAGCGATGAGAACTCACCATTCTAAGCACCATTATCAACAGAACTTGCCATCACCAGCACCAGTATCAACAGAACTCACCATTGCCGGCGCCAGAACGATGAGAACTCACCGTTCTCAGCATTAGGGTCGTAAGTGGTCTGGCCATAGATGCCAAAGTTCTCCTGGTTGTGGTAGCTGTGAGGGAAGTTGCCAGTGGATCCATAGCCAAGCACTTCCTGCTCGGCCTACAAAATAAAATATTAATGGAGGGCAAAGCAGTAATCATAATTATACAGAATGGACACAATATTCTGCACAACTACAATAATTCTGTTTCTAGGGACAATTCCAACAACATTATTGGTAAACATAAATATGAATTCTAATCAATTGTCCATGGCACACAAATGATATTTTCTGGCCAAAGTGAAAACCACAAGCCAAGTCCAATAGGTTTTTATATGCAGGAAAAACAATACATTTACCAAGTTCAATAACGCAGAATGCTCAAGGCACCGTAGGATACCAGCAGCAATAACAGAGACGCATACCTGCGCAGGCGTCTTGTAATGGACGCCATGGATGTGTTCTCCTTTCTCAATGGCTTGCTGCTTGTGCTTGTCGATGCGCGTGGTGTTCGCCTGTCGAATTTTGTTCTTTTTCCGACCATCGCCTTTGGGTTTGCCAGGCTGCACATCATGAGGCCGGATTAAATACAAATCTAGAGATAGTAAACGATGATCAGATGACGTCATAAAATGTTTTCACCTACACAGGACATATAAAAGATTTAATACAAATACAGAGATTGCAACTGATGGTCGGATAACATCATTAACCATTTCCACTTCAAGACATTATTTCCTAACACAATGTCACCTCCTACCTCATGATTACCGTACTGTTATTAATTCATACATTAATCATGATAATCTTAATCGCCTCAATAATAAAGACAGAGTATAAAATTAATATAAATATCATGAGACTGACCTTCTTTTTGTTATCCTTAATCTGTTCAGTTTCTTTGGTGATCTCATCGCGCCACAGGTTGAAGAAGTAAGCAGGATCTGTGTAGAACTTGAGACCGTCCTTACCGTCATCTCTGCACAGGCAAGATAAACCACAATGAAAATAACTTAATGAAAACTATAGCAATTTTGAATTTTTTCTTTATTTTACACTAAACAATTTTTTTAAATACTTACATGTCTAGCTGCAGACAAACGCACAATTTATAGACATTAGTCAGCTTTAATGCAAGCTATTATTCTGAAAAGCCAACAACAAAGAAATAGCTGACTGAGAAGAGCTTCCGATCCTGATTCAAACAAGCAATGCTGTAGAAGTGACAGGGTACCCACAATAATTGGGTAAACACAATAATTGAGTACCCGCAATAATTGGGTACCCACAATAATTGGGTACACACAATAATTGGGTACCCGCAATAATTGGGTACACACATATTGGTACCCACATTAGAATTACTGGGTACCCACATAATTAATGTGTCTCGAGCATTATGATCTAAATATCTGTTAACATGTACATTTCGCCATGGAAATATTTCAAGAAATACTTTGGAAAAAGCAAATAAAATTTTAAGTGAAAAATACAATATTCCTTTGTATTCATCAGACCTGTAAGGGTTGAGCTCATCAAGCGGAGGAGGCTGGTCACAATGATTGTATATATCAAGCATGGCAGCCGGGATTGTGTCTCGACTGACCACTTGTTGGTCAAACAGCATTGATGATTTGAAAGCTTTTCGCATGTGGATGTCTTGTAGAGAAACTGAAACAAATTATAATACAATGATAATTGCCAAAATTTTAAAGTTCGTGCAGATACAAATTGCAGAGTTGTAGAACGCTATGATTTCAGAATTTACGCACATTTATATATAAACTAATATGGTCAGTATATTGGCGGCATCTCTATTTTGCATTCAACTGACCTTCTTCAACGTTACTGTCAAGATTTTTAACCTTGACAGCAAGTTTATCAACTCGGCCTTGGAGTGAGATGGTACGCTCCATTATAGCAGTAGAGTCTGCTATCATTTCTCCAAAGAGATCTTCAGCGTGTTTAGACAGCGATGACAGCTGCTCAATAAACAGAGATGCTTCAGGTTTAGGGTAAAATGATAAATATCTAAATAAATACTGCACAAATTTATTTACAGTATTTACAATACTACATTAAGATTATATTTAGATGTATAGAATTATGAAATATGTAATGAATTGAAGCCTGATATAAATATGATCCAATTAGTATTAAAATTAACAACAGTATGCAAACAACCAACAACAAAAAATTTGCAAACAACCAACAACAACTCTTTCCCAAACAATGCACTCACAGCAATCGAAACAAACTACATCTTCAACCCTATTTACTAACCTAATACAACCTACTAACCTAACCTAATACAAACCTAACTCAACCTAACCTAACCTGACCTGACCTTACCTAACCTAATGCATCCTAACCAAAGATAGTGTTACAATGTTTCAGTCACTACAACAGACAAAAATCTGGTAAATTTTATCAGGTGCCTATTTAAATTTACATTCCAGTTAGTAAAGTATTCATGCTAATTGATCACAAAAATATATCCTTAGGCAATCTGAAGTCACCCTTATACCTTTCCCCAGCAAAATTTTCACTGGTAATAAAACAAAGGTTTAACTAGCATAAAAACTGGGCATCCTGAAAAACCAACACTGCATAATCTTTTGCAGAGACTATCCCTTTCATTCAATTGCATGTAAGATGTAGTATGCAATAATTACTCATTTATTTGCAGCAAGATTAAGATTCTTCTTACACCCAACCCCTTGCAGGAGCAATAGATAAACCAGCATTGTGAGCCAGCTAAGAGGCTAGGCAACTGCCCTCTGGCCATTTTCCTCCCCTGAGGTGCTAAAAGGTTTAAATTATGCTCAAGATGTGTGCAAAATTTGACACCTGTGGCTTTTGTCTTGGCCAAGAAAAATGGCATTGAATATGTACTCCATATTACCCATCCTTGAGGAGGGTAAATTCCTCAGGGACTTCAACTTTTATTTTGATCATACAGATTTTTGAGGATTTGAGATTTTTAAACTGTCTAAGCAATAACTAAATTTTTTCCAAAAACCTCTCATGAGAGCAGGGGAAACATTTTTGAAGATATATAAATTTCTGTGGTATGTATTTTTTGCAGTTTTGTCATTTTTCATTTTTTTTATTAAAAAAAAGTTTAAGCAATGACTACTAACTTTTTCCAGTTACATCCCACAGAACGCATCTGAAGCTTTTTTGTCCAATAAAAGATTTCTTTGAGATGTCTGGAAGATGCATTTTTTGCAGTTTGTCAATCTTATTCTTGGATGCTGGATGTGACTGACTCTTGATGCTTTATAGGTTCTTTATTTTTTTTAATTTGAGCAATAACTAAATTTTTCCAATGGCAACTTATATAACCAGTCTGGGGAAGCTTTTTTGACTAAATAAAAATTTCTGTGGTATGCCTGGAAGATGCATATTTTTCCAGTTGCATCATTATTTTGTATTTTTTTTTAATTTTCGGAAAAATGCCAAACAAATAATACATTTTCCAACAGCATCATACGGAAAAAGTATTAGGAAGCATTTTTAAATAAAAAGATTTTTTGGGGGTTTGAAGATGACTAATTTTTGCAGTATTTGTGGGATGAGCATAACATAGGAGTGAAAATATCTGGGCGTAATTTGCTATCCAGCAACCGGCATTCATGCAAAATTGGAGACAGGAGCCCAAAAACCCCTCCTTTGGGTTTAAACAACTAAGGCCCCAAACAAATGCTAGGTGTCTGACTTGACATCAAGGCAAGCCCCACAATTAAGTTTTCAAAGAGTTTTTGCAGGGACCTGCAGAAATTGGCATGATTGGCCCATTGAACAAGTTTCAAAATTGTGCTGAAATGGATAGGTTTACTCCTGTGCAGATCAGTAGTTCTGTACCTGAGAGATGAGATTTGAGAGGGAAAGGTTGGTGAAGGCTTCCAAGTCTTGAGGCGGCTCAGTGGCAGGCATGAGGGCGGGGAAAACATGGCCGGACTCGTCCCGCACCCACTCTGGGACGAGAGGCACCCGGGACACATAGCTTGGCTGTATTACCCGCTTTAAAAGCGGCATTCTGGCTCCTGTACAAAAACAATATTATCTGTTACACAATGATGGAATAAAAACTTAAAATAATAATTGAAATTAAACATGAATAACCAAGACAATTTGAGCATTTAATGAGCTTGTTTAAATAAAATGTGACAGCAATAACTAACATATTAATGAGTAAATGGAAAAAATCTGACATTAAATATTTGTTATAAAAATGTTAAACAACAAATTCGTACAATATTGGTCTGGATGTGAAAGCAAGTAGTAAATTAAAGCAAGATTAAGATAAAAATATGATAGCACAGCATTACACAAAAATAAGTTGAATATTTTTATGAGAAGGAGCTATTTGCCTTGCCAATATTTTTAGTCAAATAGATGAAAAATATCCAAGCACAAAAATATACATACATATTTATGTTTATACCACCCTATTTCAGCACAACCAAAGAATATTTCTTCAATAACAAATTAGTGTAAATAATAACTTTGATACTTCTTTATTGATTTATACAAATTAATAAACATGAATAATTTTCTGAGATATTTACCTTAATCAATTTCCAAGAAAAGACCAAACCACTTATGCCTATCTGAATACAATGGATTAGCAATCACATGTAGCACGTTGCATGCAACCATTGAATAAGTGGCCTAGTTTCTTTTTCACATTCCTTAAGCACATCATAATCTGAAAGAAACAAAAGAATTTATCAGACATTTTTAATACATTTATATTAATTTTTATATCAGCTAACTTTTCATGATTTTTCTAAACACATTAATTTAAACATATTAAAACATTTCTCCCATTTAACAAACACCAAAAGTTTCACTTGTCTATTCAAATGGTCACACTAAAGAACACATCATTAAGTGCTAACATGCAAGGGGCATTACTAAACAAGTCAATGACTCAAGAATCAACATTGTAGTAAGTAGCCCTGACTGACATCTACACATTAAAAATGGTACACAGGGGGTCCACAGGTAATGAACCAGTTCCATTCCAGGAGGCTGTTTGTGAATACATTTGTAGGTTCCATTCCAGGAGGCTGTTTGTAGGTACATTTGTTCTTATGCCCCAAGTTGGGCTTATTTTGATTATGGCACAACCAGCTATACTGTGAGACTCGGAGATACCAGAAAAAACAATGCCTGCACAACCGTAAAACTACTGGAGGTTTTCATGTGCTTTGAACAACCTTCAACTGCCCTATTTACAGGAAATAAAATTTATAATAATAAATAAAATATTTTAATCCTACCATGATAAGAGGGGTTAACAATTTTATTAGTTGTAATAAATCCAATTATACAGGTAGATGTCCCAGTAAAAACAGTTTTTTTAGTACTGGCCTCCTGCTGCCACTTGGCAGTCATGCCAACTAGTGTCCTTATGGACAGGCTTTGGAGTTGTGAACAGCTCTGTACATATGTGCCTAAGTCATCAAGAAAATAAAAAATTAACACTGGATTAAATTTCTTACAGATCAAAATAACAAGACTGTTTTAGTTGTGGCTTGGAATCACTCTGGGATAATGAGCAAATTTTCCATATAATTACAGACAGGTAAAAATGACCATTCCACAGTTGATTTTTAAGAATTGCAAGCCAAATTATGCCAGTTTTCATAATTTTTGTAAAAAAAAATTTCCCAAGAGTGATTAGAATGAGTGCAATTATCCACAAGCACAGGTATTTTTGTCTCATTCATAGGAGACATTTGCCCAACTTTTTCCGGTTTGGGCTTGGTAACAAAAGATCTTAAATGACCTAATGTCAACAACTCTTAAGTTGCCACCTGGCAGATGCTTTACTCAACTAGCTGCTTGTAAAAAAGAATATATTTAGTGCACGTCAGAACAAAGATTTATAAATTTGATTACAGCATAATAGGTACAAAGCTGAAATTTGTGGCATGAAGGACAAAGTAGCAAACAAAAAATTGTTTAAAAACCAGTTAATTTTTAATTTGCTGGTCTCCTTGAAGATTTCACAAAAATATGTCATGTGTTAATGCTGGCATTCATGATACTTTATGGTCTACTTAGAAGACTCAAATTCACTTAATAAGGAGGGGGATCATTTCAACAAATATAAACAAACCTAGACAGGCTGGCTCATAGGATATTGAAACTATTAGCCATAATCAAGAAATGCCACATCATCCCCTACATGCATATAACCAGGCATGGAATAAATATATTTTTATACTTTTCAAGTTAAGGCAGAAGCTTTTCTGCATAACTGGTAGTAATCACATTATATATATATGTTTATTGCTGAGCATAAACATTGCTTCATAAATACTGCCGTTTCGCAAGTCTGGCATTCAGCTAACACAACTTTGATTGAAAAATTTCAGCTCCTTGGTTCCCTCTTCAAACTTTCTACGTATTTCTTATTCTTGTCACTTCCATTGTGGAACAGAGTTCAATTTTATATCAATAACAATTTTATGAATACTGCAAAATTACAGGCCATTTTATGAGATCCAAATAATCAGCAGAGCTGGTTTCAGACAGATTAGTTAGTCTGTTATTGCATTTATTTCACTTTGGTATCAATGGTATGTTATTATGAAATATGAACTAGATTCAAAGTTTCCTACTTAGTAAGGGGACTGTTTTGATCAAAAACTTTTTTATTTATGGACAGATTGTTCTGAGACTTGTTACACAAAAATCTAAGACCTTTTTATGTGCTTTTAAAAAAATAAAAGAAAATGTATAATTAATAGAAAACAGCAAAAAGTAAGTACTGTAAAATCTCCTCATTCAATAAACATACTACAACATTGAGTCTGAGACACATATCATTTGATTTGTAAAGACCATATCTAGAAACCATCAGATAATTTTTCGAAATTTTAATTTGTTTGGGTGGGAGGGAGGATTTTCTGAAATTTTTTTGTTTTTTGCCTACTCTCCATTCCTTTTTCCAATATATAATCCTAAATTCCTAACTATAAAGAAATAAAAAAATGATCAAATGGATTGTAGAGGTTTTCTTTACTGATCAAATGGTATATCTCTCAATGCTGCAGCTTGAAAATCATAGGAGGTTTTTAAGATAAAAATTCCAACTTATCAGGAGAGCCAAAAAACTGAAATTTGTAATCATTGAAGGCATAGCCTAGGTAAAATCAATGCTTTGACAACTGCCTTGAATGAGCAAATGAACACACAAACATGGCTTTGGGCTCTTCAGATGCACTGATGCACCGTTTCTGGACTTTTAAATGAGACTAGAAAGCAGAAAAGCCAAAATTTTCTATTTTTGACCAAAACAGTCCCCTTAAAGTGTTTTGAGAGTCATGTGAAGGCAACAGAACTTACGTAACGCATACGTTTTTTTATAGTTTTTCATTTCTCAATGTGTCCTTAATGTGTCGCCAGTGTCGGAATATACTGCGTTTACCCTATTTCAATTTGTGGACTTTGCAGCTGGTGAAGTGAAGCTATAGATAGAACGATGGTCAGACAATTAGCGATTGACTGAGGCATTATAACTTTATAAGGATGCCTCAAAAATAAACAGGAAGACGTGGTGATGCTTTTTGTGACGCAATTTCAAGTGATCATATATGGTAACTTACCCGTGACCCGTGAAAGGGTTAAGGTGAGAAATTTTTAATATATTTCAAATTTCATGGCATATCTGGTATATTGGGAAATGGGAATTGATAATATTATTAATATATATATATTTTAAAATACCTAATCAAAATCCAGAAAATGGTTTTGAATTTTCCAAAATTTCTGGATTCAAATGACAATTTAACTACAAAATTAAAAAATTGCTTTAAAAATTATTTTGCTTTATCATTTTTTAGGGAAGAAATTTAGCTAGGGTATAAACTATAAAATGCTTTATATTGGCTAGATGTTAGGAGGCAGTCACCAGGCACCAGCAGCAGTCAGGGCATTTTTGGTCTCATTTAATGATTTATGGGTGCATTGTCATTGTGTGGTTTCTGCTAAATTTTTCAGAATGGCTCTATCACAGCCTCACAACTTTACAAGAGAGGCAACCGAACACAAAATGTATTTAAAATCATTATTAGTTCTATTTACTCTTTATTTCACAAATTCACAGACAGGGCAAGAAAAAGAGCAAAAGACATAAAATTTAGGTATACTAGGGTATAAACTATAAAATGCTTTATATTGGCTAGATGTTAGGAGGCAGTCACCAGGCACCAGCAGCAGTCAGGGCATTTTTGGTCTCATTTAATGATTTATGGGTGCATTGTGTGGTTTCTGCTAAATTTTTCAGAATGGCTCTATCACAGCCTCACAACTTTACAAGAGAGGCAACCGAACACAAAATGTATTTAAAATCATTATTAGTTCTATTTACTCTTTATTTCACAAATTCACAGACAGGGCAAGAAAAAGAGCAAAAGACATAAAATTTAGGTATATCTTTTTAGTTTTTAGTATCCTTGCACTTGCAGTGTTTACAGATTTATTGATTAGGTGAGTTTTACAAGGTATAGGATATATATAATGACCAGTTATTCGAGTGTCTGTCTAGCCTAAGACTAGGGATGGTCAGACTCGTAAATTAGGTTGTGGCTCGTGGGCTCAAGCCTCAATGGGCCACATCCTGACATCAGAGACATGAATAGTTCTGAACTTCTGACCTCAACTGAAATTCATCTGTAACATTGTTGAATAGAAATTATTCCAGTTTTTCCTAACTTTTGTATTGCATTAAAAAATAGAGAATTTTACAAATGTAAAGCACTAAAAGCAGTGCGACTGCGAGATAGGATCGGAAATTTATGAGATGAACAAATAAAAGTTTAGAGTCAAGTTATCATTTGTACACTAGCTACCGCGTAGGCACAGTAAAGCGTCTTCAATGTTTTGTTTTCGATTGGTAAGAAAAAGCGATGCACCATTGAAGTGATTCATATGAAGAAAAATCACAATTTTAAATTAATGAAAAAAATAATAAAGAACGAAATGGAGTTGAAGATATACAAGTCTAATTTTACATCACATAAACACACTCCCCACCTTCTACAGAAGGGTGGAGGGCTGAGCTATCGCAACGTTGCCAAGTAACATTAAAGAGTCGATAATATATTGATATCATAGGCGTTTCTCCTTTGACTAATAACTTTTAAAGTCTCACTAGTATTTTTTTATGGTGTTCTATATTAGGTTCAATCAATACTTTGTTTGGTAATATTTATACATTAATGTTTGAAATATGCTGACGTTTGGCACCCATTATGAACAACCGTCTTCAATTTCAGCATGAAATCATATTAGCATGCGATTTCTTGAAAAAGCATTCAAGCGAGGTTTCACTTACATAATTTAAATTAGCAAAATATGGCCGGGGTAACAGTTCTATATCAGTTAAACGCTCATACTACTTGTACTTGATTTAACAATTTTAATTTCATGCCATGTTCAACGTATTATTCACGCTTTGAGAAATTTCTATCTAAATCACGGGTATAAAGAAAAATGATGGCAAACAATAAGATAAAGTTAATTTTTGAGTGACAAATGATAACTTGTGGTTAATGTTAGTGTACGTACTACATTCAACTTGGAGTAGAGAAGCACTAGTGACATTGATAATTGCACTCTGAGTGAGGTCACGTCATCTTCAAGTGGGTGGTCTGTCCCATGGTTGAAGCGACGCATGTATAGTTCAGCCATGGTCTGTCCAATACGCACCCGCGCGTGGGACAAACCTCCAGTAGTCTCTCTGGCTGGCTGAGTGCCTGAGTCGCGTTCCATGTCGCAGTACGCGCCTGGACTTGTCTGGGGTTGCAGCAATTTAGGATAACTCGAATTTCCGGTTATAATGAGTTGCTCACTAATGAGCTTGCACATAGAAAGTCTGAAGTTGATTTAAAATATATATATATATATATATCTTCAATAAGGCAGCATTCACGCCAACAGTGCTTTGTTTGCGTTTCAGAGTGCCATAAATCCATACCAGATTTATTCTAAAAATGCATTCGTTACCTTAGATTCTATTTACAAATCCTTATTGAAAATTTAATGCGTAAGCCAAAAAATATGTTCATTTAAACAATTTATGGTCCCAAAAAGAAAGATGATCAATTCTTAGGCTGAAATGATGCGGTGTTCCAAATGTTTCGGTAGTAAAATGTTTTTGTGTCCTATTATATCGTTTCAAATTGAGCTCTCTATTACATTGAAGTACTTTCGTTTGCAAATTGTTATTAAGTCGACTGGTTGAAATTTTGTTTCCATTATACCACAATAACAATAATCCTGACATGTACCGCACTCACGTTTTCACTTGTATTTCTCATTTATCAAGGTTTCGTTTCGTTGTTATCTTTTGACAGCACTACTTTTTGATCAAAATGTCAGCAATTCTCTCGAACTCTTCAGTTTTTCTGCCAATTTCAAAGGGGCCAGGGAGACACGCGCCCCAGTTTTCTCATGACACATTAGTCAAAGTTATCGTCCTTGGACTCATGACGATCTTCTCACTGATCGGCAATGGCGCCACAGTTTACAGCATTCGGCAACGGAAGAAGCTACTTTCGAGATCCACGATGCACAAACTCATTCTGCACATGGCGATCGCAGACATTTTCGTGACATTAGCTTGCCTGCTGGTGGAGACCATCTGGACCTACACTGTAGAATGGTTAGCCGGAGATTTTCTTTGCAAACTTGCCAAATATTTGCAGGTAAGTTTAAATGCAGTGTTTAAATAACCGGGATGAAGGCAAGTGGAATGCTGCATTAATGTTCAGCATATTTTGACCACTTCTTTTTCAGTTAAAAATTGTCTATCAATCAAGCTATTATTTTTCTTAAAAAAGGTTAATTTTATCATTCAGAACAATAGATTGTGCAATTTTTGCTTGAACCAATAGGCTCTACATCGCGCATGTGATTTTAAACTAAACTGTAAATGGCACGCTTATGCAATCAATTTATCTCTGTCTCAAAGACATCCAGCATAACCATCTTCCATAAATCCTTAAGGGCCATGCAAAAGTTCCTACAGCAGTTAATAAATGGATTTGATGCCGCATCCGGATCTAACATCCCACAAAAGACCGCATCCCTTGTGGAATCAAATCACAAAAAGTACAAGAATCGGCAACAGGTCATAGGCCTTTTTCTTCAGTGCCGACATTTCTATTATATTATATTCAAGCTTATGTTTGCTTACGGTCGAAGTCGGTGGAAGAGGTCAATTCAGCATTGCTTTGCAGATGTCCAGTCAAGACGCTCCTGTATTGAATAAACAATGTTGGACATTTTATTCATGCTCACATTGGCTTAGAATAGAAGAGAATAGAAGTGTCGGCACTGAAGAAAGAGACCCATAGCCTGTTGCCGATTCTTGTGCTTTTCGTGACTTGATTCCACATGGGATCCGGCCTTTTGAACCCGATATATCCTTAACTGACGATTGGTTAAGATAGCTGCTGGACTTATTGTAAGGTCCGTAAGGTGCTAGTCATTTCAAGACTGAACATTTGTTCCTGCATAGCTTCGTCTAATCTGTTCTAGAAGGCGTTTATACTCAGAGCCTCAACAATGCTATCAGGAAGCCTGTTCCACATGTCGGTGACTCGAAGTGAGAAGAAATGTCGTATGGATGTGTTACAACGCAGTTTTTTTAGTTTATGGAAGTGGCCCCTGGTGTTGGTTCTTGTTTCAAATTCTAGGACTTCTTCTGGGACCTTGTTTAAACCGTGGGTATACATGTATACTTCAATGAGGTCACCACGTAGACGTCACCACTTACGCAGATGTTATATATATTCACCAAATAATGTAAGGCATATTATCCATATTGATTTACTTTTATTCCGCATGGTCTGCACAGATGTTCAGTCTGTACGCGTCTACGTTCGTGCTGGTGCTGGTGGGGCTGGACCGCCTGGTCGCCGTACGCTTCCCCATGCAGCGCGCTAAGACCCTCAGCTACTGCGACGCGGCTGTCTTCATCGCTTACGTTACGGCGGCAGTCCTCAGCATTCCTCAGGCAAGGAATGATGTATTACTCTGCATTCTCCAGGCAAGGAATGATGCGATATTGCTCAGAATTTTCAGGCTAGTAATCATATGACATTATTGAGCATTTCCCAGGCAAAAACTCAAAAATGGATCTGAAATGATCTCCATACATCCAAGAATCAGATTGTCTAAATTGTTCGTCGCATATAACAACTCGTGTCGTTATGAGCTCGTGTGGTTGCAGTTGGTGGTGTTCAGCGTGCAGTTGGGACCGTTCGTGGAGGTGTTCGAGCAGTGCGTGACGCACGGATCATACACGAAGTTTCGGTGACTAGAACAGGTCTACGGCAGCGTGTCTATACTAACCCTCTTCGTGCTGCCTTTCACGGTCGTCGTGGTTACCTACGCCACCATCTTCATCACCCTGCACAGTAACTGATAATAATTAATGAACGATTAACAGTGAGTGATCACCAGTGAGTGATTACCACTTTATAATACAAGATAATCATTTGTCGAAATTTACACTTTTCGTGAACATTATCATACATAATTTTTTGTGTTTTCAAAAGTGTTTTTTAGATTGTGCTAGTAGAGAAATATTATTTAGCATTATTTATGTGTAGACGATATAAAAAGTGTACATATAATGTAGCTGTTACAATCTTCTCTGATGGCAGAGAGTGAGCTGAATATTCGTGGCAACGACAACAAACAGCAAGACGGACAAGGTGGCAACCGCCAGCGTCTGATCAAGCGAGCTAAAAGCAAAGCGCTACGCATGAGTGTCATAATTGTGCTCGCCTTCCTCATCTGCTGGACGCCATACTACTACATGATGATACTACACGTCTTCGGTGACAGCAAGGATCAGGGCAGCGAGGTGCTGGTAAGTACTCTCCCGGTCAATTGTTTTCGGAGGACTTGTACTGTACGTCTTTGGTGACCACATGAGACAAGAAGATGGATGAAAAAAAACCTCTAAGCACTCTATTCCAGCTAGGTACTTGAAACTTACTCTTACTTACTATCTTTCGAATTTGAAAGATCCTAGCAATGATCCGAGTATTAAGTATTACGATAATTACAGTACCATTATATTATAAGTTGGTTTGTTAGTTTCTACTGGTGCCGTTATCTTTGACTTCCTAAAAGCGATCCTCGAGTTCATTGGTGCCGCATTATTCGTATAACTAATTATTTGCGATCAATAAAGCTGACAGGCACCATGAGATGAACCTTGTGGATCGCAGCATGACGTATAGCGGCAGCATGACACTTGACGCATGACACTTGGCGCATGATGGCAGCATGACACATAACGTGTTCCCTCTCAGTCTGCCGTACCACAGAATGCTGGTTGCCAGACCTTCATCTTCAATGTTATTTTTATAATTTTTCGCCCTAAATTGGCTTCAATTTAGAAAATCAAAGGAGGAAATATAGTGTTTTCTTTTTGCGTGGCTGCATTTAGTCTGAATATTTTCACTGAGCGGTTCAGCTTCTTCGCCTTAATCAGATTTATTGAATTATTTAATCACACTTTGATCCTTCAGTACTTGACGATGGTATAACTATGAACTTAAATCGGGTCATCCGAATGCCAGTTCTTGCTGGGTTCGGCACCGAACATTTAAAAAACTTATTTTACGGTTGTTGGGTTCTGACTGTTAAACTCGCTTCGCAAACCATTACCATGAACAATAAGGGTTGAATTCTAGCCGTTTGGACCTCAAGTGTTGAATTTTCACCGTTTGTACCCCAAGGGTTGAATTATCCAAGTTGGGATCTTGAATTTTCACCGCTTTGACCCTCAGGGTTGAATTCTCACAGCGCGGATCTAATGTTGAATTCTGAGTGTTTGATCCCTTGTAAGAATTTAATAATTGGGATTGTAATTTTTTAGGGGGTTTAAACGCAATCGCAAAGAATCTACGTTGTATTGTATTCGAGGGCTGGTCTTGCAACTTCAGACGTAAGGCGTGTTTTGAGGTAGTCTACACTCCACGGATATCATGGAAATATAATTTTTTAAAGTTAGCTACAGTTTCTTTCTAATTGGACATGTATGTACCCTAAACTTGAACTGTATGATGAAGCATGTAAAATATTAATTCATGGAAGTAGAGCAAGCATCGATAAGAATTTAAGTTTTACAATGGTTAATTTTCAATTGCACATACTAGAGATTAGCATAACCGATATATCATCCGTTGTAGTGCATCAAAAATTATAAAATTCCACGAAACCTGAATATTCATATCAACGTAAAAATTAATAATCACCGGATAAATCGTCCTAATTTTCAGGACCCATATTTGAAGGACATTATATATTATTCATGTATTATTCGTAAAATATGATAATCACCGGAAAAATCATCCTATGTCTTTAGAACTCAGATTTGGATGACGTTATATATTATTCGTTTATACTTAAAAGTTAATACTCACCCGATAAATCATACTATTTTCCAGGACTCAGATTTGAATAACGTTGTTACGTATATTCGTTTGGCGAAGGATTTGAATACACGATTTTTCGTTCAGTTGTCTTTATAAATCGGTTTCTGTAAACAAACAATATACAAAGGTAAAAATGGTTACATAAAATTAGTATTGCACATAAAGGTATAATCGAGAAGTAAAATAATTTATTTCGAACATATAACACGATAAAAGTCAAATATACACGTTACACGAATCTTCAAAAATAGCACACGCTTACCAAACATTTCCTTCTGTACAGTCCAAAGCCAACACCGCAACTGAAAGTCTAGATGCTTTTAAAACTGAACTAAAGTAAAATGTCACTGACACACATGCATCCGGCGAACGAAATGTACAAGAGAAGCGCATTTAAGAACCAGGTATTCAACAGACGTTATATATTATTCATTTATACTTAAAAGTTAATAATCGCCCGATAAATAATAATATTTTCCGGGACTCAGATTTGAATGACGTTATATATTATTCACTTATACTTAAAAGTTAATAATCGCCCTATTTTCCAGGACTCAGACTTGGACGACGTTATATTTTTCTTCGGGATGTCGAACAGCCTCGTGAACCCTCTCATCTACGGCGCGTTCCACCTCTGCGGACTGCGCGACAACAAGAGGTCAGAGGGTACACTCAAGGATATGGGTGAGACTTTGTCTAAATCGCGATGCACTTTTACCATTTGTGTGAGTCAACTTAGTACAGTTTGACCAACAAAAAGCGCGCATCAAGAGCTCTTTGATCGTTGCTGGAGGTAAGAAAGCGTGTCACAAATTGGATATACATTTTCTGGGTTTGTCTGCCTCTATCTTTTTAGCGCATTTTCTCATTTATGGAAAAAATGCACTATTGTGCTCGCCATGTCCGTCTGTCTGTCTGTCCGTCTGCCCGTCTGTCCGTGACCTCAAGTTTTCGTCGACGAGAAAATGCGCTCTCTGTCGCTCACTTCAGTGAGTACTGAGTTATATTTTTTTCAATATTTTCTCATTCATGAGTCGCTCAAACGCACTCAACGAAATAAGTGAGATTTTGTCAAAATGGCGCTGCGTTTTTGCTTTTTGCCCTCGTGTGTCATCCTGACACAGTTTTGCCCCGGCACAGGGCGCATTAATGCTTATTTAGTACAGATAGTGTGTTGGTAGATTAATGGGTTTTAGTACAATAAAACCCATTAATTTCTTTCATTAACTCCATGCACTATGGCAGATCACTGAAATGGCTGAAATTTGTTATTAAATAAAATATATTAAAGGAATTAAGTGATCACCAAAATATAGTTAGCAGCAATGGTTAAGGTTGCGTTCAATCTTGGAATAGACAGACCTCTGAACACGCGTTTGCGCGTTCATACGGCAGAACGCAGCTTTGTTGGGGAATTGCAAGTTGCATTTTGTAGCGATTGGCTTCTAAGTCTCATACTAGTCATCAATGAACTTTTACCATCATTATTTCACTATTTCCTGTGACAGAAACGAGATTTGTGCCAATATCAAACTGGGAAAATTGAATATTATTATATTGCCAAAATTATCTTCAACTGATATTTGATACAGCAATTTCTTTGTGAAAATGACGGTTTAATATAAAATTAGGACTATTAATTACAAAGTTAAATGAAATTATTATATGGGATACATACGGAAGAGAAACATGCTTCTTCACATCGCTACAAAAGTCATTCTATGGACGACCGAGTGATGGACGGAATGAATAGCTTGTCGAGATTAGCGTTGTAACGCTGCCAGGATTTGCATAGAAAGGCAAAGTAGTGTCTCTCCTCGAGGCCATCTCCATATTGTGTCAAAACAATGTTTTGCAAACAATAGAATCATATGCGGGTTTCCTTTTCGCTCATAAAAAACTCATTTTCATTTTAGTTGTATTTTTTTACTATTTTTTTATTGTTTTTTACTGGCTTTTATCAGCAACGCGAAATGGAGACAATGAGATGAAAAAATTCTATGTGTAATAGTCAATAATGCTGAAAATAATTGAAGTCAATGAATACAAAGGAGTTCGTATTTTCATGAGTTATTATAATAACGCTCACATGCGTCGATTAATTAAATCGAAAGCTTGAATTATCTTAACTGGATTAATTGAATGCAAATTAACAATTGTTTCATGACAGAAATAGTAGTTATCATGAAAGTACTAAATATCAATGAAGCCGATTTTTCACAGTAGTATAACTATTATGATTGGTAATGTTTTGATGAGTTGTTAAGAAAAGCACATCGCCATCTCATCAATTGATATCTTTCACCTCATGGCAAAACTTAATAAAAAAACAATGATAGAAACTGTATTATATATCTATATTTCTACATATATACAACAAAAATTCGAAATAAATTACACTGATAAGAATGTTTGGATGCGCAGGAGAGGCCGCGAGCGTCTGCGTACGTTGAGCGGGCGTACGGGCACGAGCACGCGCACCACCACGTGCACCACCACGCGCACCACCACGTGCAACACGCGGTCCACAGCCCTGCAGCCCCACGTGATGCCTTGCAACACGTCCAGCGACTCCCTGCAACTCCTCAAGCAACATCCTTCACTGCAACTCCAACCTCGGTCATCGTTGCCGTTGCAACGTCCGTTACAACCTCTACAACTTCAGATGTCGCTGCCACTGCGGCAACAGGCTTCACAAACACCGTTGCTACAACGTAAAAAACTTACTCCTCAACCAATTTCACCTCTTGTGCAACATCAGTCGGGAAGCAAACATCAGCATTACGAGCAACAAACACAATCTGAGACTCGTCACCAACAAGAGCACCAGCTAGACCACAATAAATTCAATGTAAACAATCAGATCGAGACGACTACGCAAGATCCAGAATTGTTACTGACATCACAACTTGGGAACAATCCAGCAACGGACGAGCTGAAGCAGGAACAATCTGGCCTTGAGCAAGAACATCAAGATGAGATTATGCATCAGAAAACATCTTGTGGACCTGACGATCGTGATCACACTTCAAGCGGTGATGAAAATAATTTACCAGCTCGCAGTTTTTTATTTAAGCAACAGAAAATAAAACAACAGAAAATGTGTCATCTGCAAAATTCAAATTCTTTGAAGAGAGAAAATTTGCTGGAGAAATTACAGTGGAGGCGAAAGCAGAGCCTGCAACAGCTCCCACAATATGAAGGAAGAATAAACTTTGAAGGAAAACGTGAGATTGATGAGAGAGAAAAGCCAATGACTACAAATTTCAGTATATTTAAGAGATTGATGAATAAACATGATGGTACACAGGTGCAAGACACTGACAGCTCACCGGCTGACCTGCTCATGAGTGACTACGAATCATTCGAGCCTCAACCGAGACCCAAACAGGTTGTAGAATCACTACCAACGAATGCTAAGATCCATGAAAAAACGGCAATAAAGCCCTCTGTAAATCATGAAACGAAATCCAATATTTTTAAGGTGAAAGCGGCGATCAAAATTGAGAAAGAAGTTGATAAAAAACTCATTTTCCGACCATATTCTAGGGTAAAAACGAGCTACCTAAACTTTTTCACAAGCGAAGCTGATCGAAATATGAATTTAGGCAACAATCGAAGCGATAACGCATCCAAGAAGCTGCAACCTCTGTGCCGAGATATCGTCATCAGGCCACAAATTCATCGAGTAAGCGAATGAACTTGTAATATTTTCTTTGCCTGAATAAATTCGATGTTTCAATGATATTCTTGGCTAAATGTCAATTAACGGCAGTTATGGTCCAGCGAGGGAAAAGAAAGCATAAACCCAAAATTAGTGCCTTCAGAAAACAGCCCACAACACCTGAGCTCTGAAATATGGAACATCTGCGATAACAAGCTCCAAATTAAAAAATTGTTATCGACGTTACGACTTGGCAGTGCGTGAACATCTCAACATGAAGTTCATCCAGCTTCTACGGACCTTTTTGAACCTTCTATGTCTATGTCTATCCAATTCAACTTGACCTCCGTCCCACCTCCAGAAGCAAGGTTACAATGTCTTTCTGCAAACAAATAATGTCTGCTGTCCGATATGTCCTTGGCCCTGCCACCCGCAGCCTCATGCGACGCACTCGACATTGTCATGCTCTAGATGAAGATTTATCTACATTGTTCTAGCACATTGGCCTACTTGGACCATAACACACTTTTTCATTTATCTGTTTCCTGTGCGCGGGGTTCTGTATAATTATTAAAATAACAAAGCGAAGAGAAGCTAGAAACCATCGCTGATCTGTCTAGTGTCCTCCTTGTCCCTGAAGGCTCATATGTCATCAGTCAACTCACCAGTTCGCCGCGATCAGAAGATCTAGGCTAGTATGATTAAGATTAATGGTTTTCGTTATATCATTTTCGATGAACAAAAGTCTTTGCCAATGAAAAAGCATTATATCCAGATCTGAATAATTGAGAGAATTTCCCCAAGTCATTCATAATGGATTTATGAAACATTTCTTCCATGTAAATTTTTCGTCTATGTTATTGGCGGAAAAGTAGCGATGAAGTTGGCTGTTCCACCACTGAATTCTGATTTTGAGTCACACTTGAAGACAGCCTTGAGTACACACACACACACACTCAGGAATATTAACAAAAAATTGTCAATATAGTTTTAAGCCTTCTTTCATATATTTGACTGAGTCATCCAGACCCAGTTTGGCCCTTATAAGTGCGCATTATAGAGCTACGTCGTACTATACGTAGTAGATACAATACATATATTACTCGTGTTGTAGGTAGGAAAGTGTGCAACTTTTTGGACAGCACGACCCATTCATTTTTCTCTTTATTATGCAGCCACATTCTTGACAAATACTTATTCCACTATTATCCATGCGTGACTGTTTCGTGTCAAGCACTTCTTATTATTCATTAATGAAAAGCTTGTGCAATTGGGAAACGGATACTCTCATTCCAAAAACTCGTCCATAATTATAACATATCGAATCGCAGACGTTGCTAGATTTGAATATATTATTGAAGAAATATTATATGCAATTTTTTGTGGAATTGCCCTTCTTAGCTTATTAGATGACAGGCATTTAAATCTTAGCTTCAGATAAAACTTTTTTTAGTTTTATGTGTTTAATTTGCATCGGCTGCGTGTCTTACTCGTAACATTTTCGAACAGCTTTTGTACATTTTTTTCATAACTTTCATAATTATCGTGAATAATTTTTTAAGACCTATATAGGCGGGATATTCGAGTTCTTAACGGCCAGCTTTGCCTTAACCGTACTTAAAATATATCGTATTATTGAAGGAAATCATGATATTTTTATACGGTCGTGTCTAACTAGTAAGCTTAGACCTGCTTGCGAAGTTCTTTAAGAATAATGTGAGGTGTACATGATGAATTAAATTTTCAATAGGGCTTAGAGAGAAGGCAAATTCTTTTATAAAAGTTATGATACGTTAGACCAAGGAGTTCGTTGGATTTTTTTTGTTTTGTTTACGAGTATGAATGGAACAAGTGTTTTCGGAAGTCTATTTGTGAGCTTGGTGTACAGGCACTTAAGTTTTGTTTTGGTCGGCAAGTATTCAAGATATGATTAATTATTTTGAAAGACATTGTTAGGATAATTTAGTATTATTACTTTTAAAATGTGTAATACTATCATTAATTTTAATCAATAACATAGGTAAACAATTTCTGAAATTTGCTGATCTAGCTGAGTTACCCGCGCACATCGGATATTCGATATAAATGTTTTTAATATATCGATAATTTTAGGTTTGTGAGTTAAATCCTGCAGTAGAAAAGTTTTTTTATTTGAATAGTTAAGTTAACGGTAATTATTCAGCAGTTGTAGAAATAATTAATTTAACGTTAGTAGTTCAGCAGTGTGTAGAAATATCTAACTTGACGCGCTCAATTAAGCAATGGATTAATTATGAATATTATTAATATATGAGTGAATTAATTATGAATATATATGGATTAATTATGAATATTGAATATTAGAAATTTTTTATTCACTGTACCAACTTGCTTAAAAAAAGTAAGCTTCGACTGTCGAGAAATCATGTAAATTTATTTCACTTGCAAATTTTTTTACAGTTTCAATTAATAGAAATTAATTGAATTGAGAAATTAATCTGTTCAGCACTACTTGTCTCCCTAAAGCTCACGCGTTTTTTCAATTTACTTGTATCTCCACTGAACATCTTATCTATGTGTTTTTGTGTATATTTCTTGTAATCACTAAAATAATCAAACTTTTACCGGCCGTAATTCTCTAAAATTGCCTACTATGCTGTCAAAAATTGGCTGCTTTGCACTCAAAAATTGGCTGCTTTGCATTCAAAAATTGGCTAAAATGTTGCCTTAAAATTGGCTACTATGCTGTCAAAAATTGGCTGCTTTGCACTCAAAAATTGGCTAAAATGTTGCCAAAAAATTGGCTACTATGCTGTCAAAAATTGGCTACTTTGCATTAAAAAGTTGGCCAATATGCGGCCAAAAATAGGCTACTATGCTGTAAAAAATTGACTCTTACGCCGTCAAAATTTGGCTACTACCCCTGTGAAAAATTAATTTTAATTTTTCTTTAGGCGCATTACGATTCTTCCAGCTCCTATTTGTTATTATTTTCACTATAACGTAAATTGAAAGATCTCTTATGTTTTTCTCTTAGTGTAACTCTGCAAAAAAGAAAAACCTTTCCAACTCGAAACCACCGAGAATAGAAAAAATTTACTTTTAATTAATATTTGTTTCACAATGTAAAGAAATAACGGACGCACAAAATTTTCCATTTGATTCATCTTGAAGCCAACAGATTTAAAGAAATAGGCAATAAAAAGGTCCAACGATTTTAAGTTAAGGATTTCCAGAAGATTATACTGGAGACAGAAATAGGTAGTTAATGGGCCATAGCTGTATTATTCGGTGAGTAAATATATGTGTAAAGTACAACAGTTATATTTTGTAATTCCAATTTGATCCCTAATCAACTACCAAGACGAGACGATGAAATCACAAAACAGTATTGTAGCATTTTGGTGTCACCTTTGACTCTTGACCACTCGGTTACCTTGCGGATTTCGACCCGTGATTCCACATGTATTCCGGGATTCGAACCCCCCAACTCGCTGCTTCTACATTGGTAATCGTTACCCCTGGTCCCCTCAAGTTTAACCTCGTTTTACGACAGGAAACCCCAGAAACTACCGAATGTAAGTATTTAATGTTATGCGTTTAAACCTCGCTTGTGAGCTTTGGAAGGCTGGATGAACTTTCATCACAAGAATTCGTTTAAATTTTCAGTGTTCGTCTCGTACGAGATAGTGCGGGAATCGTGGCAATAAGCGAAAGCGGAGTTCAGTAGAAACAAGATATGAAAAAGTAAATGCAAACCGTCATTCAATGCTGAAAAAAATATAACTCAGTACTCACTGCAGTGAGTGACAGAGAGCGTATTTTCTCGTCGACGAAAACTTGAGGTCACGGACAGACGGACATGGCGAGCACAATAGTGCATTTTTTCCATAAATGAGAAAATGCGCTAAAAAGTATGGAGTAAGTAATTAATATTTTAATAACAATAGTCAATATTAACACGATACGACAGAAAAGAATTTAATGAAATATATATGCACAGTTTTAGAAATATATATATTACTAATTTGAAATTCTTAACTAAAATACAAATCGAAAAATATGAATTTTTTTATTTAATTAACGCGCTTCTGTGCCTGACGCGGCCAATCAGAACGAAGCCTAAATTCCTGTCCAAATCCAATCCAGTTTAAGGGCTTACAGGGGCCTCCATTATTGGGGGGTTGTTTGCTAATGACGCGGTTAAATGGTTAATCTTGAGGTCATGAAGGGATTACGCGCATGTTGGGTCACCGCGCGAATGCAATTCGGAAATTAAAAGAGTTTAGCTGTCCGATATTGCAATTGCCGAGCAGCCAAATTATGCACATGCCCATTCTCGATTCCACATAATATGACTTCACTAAATGGTTCGCGAATTCATTCCGACAATCTTCTCTGCCTAATCTTTTTTTTTATAAAATAATATTCTAAATAATCAATTAAATGTGACAAGTCAATTCAGAAATCGGTGATCATTGGAATATTTTACGTAATGTAGGATTAACTTTGAAAACAAAACTGAATCCTTTTATTTTTTAATCAATTATGAATACAATTACCTTAGTTTTCCCTCACTTATAGCAACTGTAATTAAGAAGGAGCACGATTTAATGAGGCCGTTAAACGGTGTCAATATTAAAGAAAGAAACAGTCTTTCATGCAATGTGATTTATAGGTGAAATCCCGAGGAGGCTGGTGAAGGCGGCTTTATTTCATAGTTTCATTATAAAACTATATTAAAATATTATTAGATGGTATATGGTGTTTGTATTATAT